CAAGTTATGCGGGTGTTGCTTAGTCGCCTTTAACTTATGTCTTGTAATGAATCTACTCATAGTTCCATCTATCATTCATGCGAAGACCTCTCACTCCTAATAGATTGATGCCAGTCCTGTTATTATCTGAGTGTGTTCTTGGTTTGTGGTTTGTGAGTTAGTCTGGGATAGCATTGGTATACTTTTCATCTCACGTAGATGATCTTCCCAAAGCGTGCAAAATGTAGGTCTATCAGGGTTATTTCCCTCTCGATCCTACGCATTATCCTTGAAAAGAGGAGTTTCCCCTCTGTACACTCAGCAATGCATGCATTGGAGATCCTGCGGAATACAGAAAGAGAAAGACATAAAAAGAGGTATGTCAATTCCCCTTACTGCTTCGCACAACAAAAGAACCGATCCCGAATCGAGTTTCATGGAGAGACTATCCGTATAGACGACGGGCTCCTCCAGCCTCACCTCTCACTGCCGCATACAAAAAACGGCCCACTCGCAGAAATGGTCACCGAACTGAGAGCGTTGGTCTTGGGACTAACCGTCTCCAAAGCATATGGCACTGCAGTCAATTCTGCAATCCAAAACAAGCAGGCAGTCTTCCATCCACTACTAGATATCCCCATGAACAATATATACACCAAAATACTTTCTTCTCTCGCCTGCGATGTGATGGCGAGTGACCTGGGATATCCCCAACTTTACATCTTAGGAAGATTGCCCGTCCGGTACATTACATCGGAATCGAGCGCACTGCGGCGAGCAACTTAGCCACTACACCATATCGGATCCTGTTGTTAATGACCTGATTACAAAAGAATGATGGACCATGACCCAGCGGTGAATGGCGCAAAGGCCGTGGAGGACCGCTGGTGTCGTAGAATTGACGCTCCTTCTGTATCACTGCTAGAAGGGTCAATTTCTCATGCGGCTCGCCCTGTACTCTGCCTTCCATTTCTTGTTGCATCATTCGTTATGGGTATAGGGCTGTGCATACCCAACTATACAGGCGAGGTCAGTCGGGCAGGACATGTAACAAAACCAAAAGTCTGGCGCTTCACAATGGCGTGTATAGTTCTCTAGCAATGAGAAGAGCAGGGGTCGAGCTTATGCTCTGGCTATAAGCCGTGCAGGCTTTGCAAAAGTAGTACAGTAGCCATTCACAAAGCGATTCATCTCACATAACAATGTTATTCATTCAATTTTATACACTACCCTAACCACTCACTGAGTACTAGATCCCATCCTCATGAGGATCATCACGTCTCCCTTTATCCCCCCCATTCAGATCCCACAGACTCCTGACCGTCACATCATGCACCCACTCCCCATCCGTCTCATCCGCCTGCACCACAAACCCCACGATCTTCTTCTGACCCGGCACCACCACAAACGAATTCTCCTCGAAATACCCCACCACCCCCTCCGGGTGCTCCAACCACGTATACAGCGCCACCCCGGCCGTCGCCTCGACCTCGAACTTCCCCGACTCCGCATCATACCCAACCCTCACCCGGGGATCAACCAGATCCAGGTCCTTCGGGAACGCGGGCGTGAACCATTGCTCATGGGTGAAGGTGACCTCCTCGTCGGTGTTCGGCAAGCACCCGGTGGCGGTCAGCTCCAGGGCCAGGATGGCATCCTCGTGCCGCGGCAGGGGCTGCTGCTTCATGTTCATCCGATACAGACGGGTGGAGTTGAGGGCGCCGACGTGGAAGGGAAGCGGCTGGGTGGGGAGGCCGCCGTTCGAGGCGATGGGCTTGCCCGACAGATCGCGCCAGGTAAGGGTGACGCTCCCCGAGGCCGCCGTCCACAGGTCCGAGGTGACGTAGATGTCCAGGGCGCCGGTGGTATAGTTCCAGAACGGCGAGACGATCACGGGCTTGTAGATGTCGCGCGCCACGTAGTGAAGGACCTTCCAGCGGCCGCCGTACTCGATCCCCGCCCACGAGGGCGCCTGCCAGATGTCCTCAAGCTGCCAGTACAGGGACCCCAGCTGGCGCTCTGGCCGCCCGCTGCCACGCCGGTAGAACTGAATCTGCGACTTGTAGAGGTCCGCCTGGAAGAGCTGGGTCGCGTGGCACCAAGCGCTGAAGTTGGCCAGGGGGTCGGACGGGATGTTGGGCGTCGGGTAGTAGGCCAGCACGCCCTGGGTCATCTCGCCCATGCCGAGCGAGGTGTTGTGGTAGTTGTCGGTCATGAGCCCGCCCGCGGGGTAATGGTGGTTGCGGAGCATGACGACGCTGCTGTTGAAGGTCAGGTCGGCCGGGTCCGTGAGCGCTTGCTGCCAGGTTTGCAGGCTGGGCATGCTGTGGAAGCCGAACTCGTTGGCGAACCGGCCCACAGGATAGGTGCCGTAGTCGAAGGCGATGCTCGCGTCGTAGTTGTAATGGTCCGTGTCGCCGTAGTATTCGCCCTCCGTGGTGTTGCTGTAGCGCTCAGCCATGGGGACGGGTGCGGAGAGGTCGATGTCCAGGTAGCCCTCGGTAGTGCTGCTGGGGGAGTAAGAGATGGACCGCGTGTTTTCGTAGACGAGCGGCAGGAAGAGACTGATGTATAGCTTTTCGTACTCGCCCACGTAAAAAGGGTACGACTCCGGATCGGCCGCCTCGACAAGCAGCAGCATCAGAGATTCGATCTCGTTGCCACCGGCCCATAGGGCCAGAGATGGGTGGTGGTTAACTCGTCGGACGTTGTAAACTACCTCCGCAGCGACGTTCTTCAAGAAAGCGTCGTCCGTAGGGTACAGCGCGTCGCTGAACTGGAATTCACTCCACAGAAGGATTCCCTTCTCGTCCGCCAGGTCGTAGATATAGTCGTGAAGGTATGCCCCGGAGGACCAGACGCGGAGCATGTTCTGGTTGCCCGCCACGACTGCATCGAACAACCGAGTCATCGTGTCCTCGGTAACCCGAGTCCAGAAGCAGTCCGGTGGAATCAGGTTTGATCCTTTGGCATAGAACTCATGTCCATTGACTTCAAAGTGCCAGTTCGCCCCAGGAGCGATCCCTTGCGCCAGCTGAGCGTCGGTGATATTGCGCTGATTGAGGAAGATCGTGCGGAAACCAGTTCGCTTCGTGACTTCAGCGATGGAGTGATTTCCCCCATCGGTAACCGAAATGGTCACATTATAGAGATTCTGCTCACCCAGGCCTTGCGGCCACCATAATTTCGGGTCAACTCCCTCCAGAACCGTGACACCCGTGACCGAGCCCTCGGTAACAGTGATGTTGGTCAGTGGCCGTGAAGCAAGAATCTCCCCAGACTGTAGATCTTTCACCTCAATCGCCATAGACGGGCTCTCTGGCAGAGAGCCCAAATAGTCCAGACTAGCATTCACCACCCACGGCTGGGTCTGGTCAGGCGGGAGGTAGTTGATCTGTCCCAGCCGGTAGATATCTAGGTCCGTGTTGCGGACATACACCGGTGCCGCCTGTTTCAACTGAACCACGTATCCAGGCTTCCAGGGTCCAGCCGGCGCAAATGCCGGACCCCAGTCCCAGCCAAAGTCCGACTGTTCCTTGCGCATGAACCACCGGTTAGGATACTCATAGGTGATCTGGACTCCCTCGGGCCATGCTAAACTATCATTAGCCTCTCATCCCCCATCAAAACAATCTTCAGGAGAAATGAAAGGCACTAACTCGGCGAACTCGGGTCCTGTGCAATGGCATCCACAATATTTGGCGCACTGCCAAACTGAATACTCAAAGTTGGCTCCTCAGAACAATCTCTAAGAATGGAAGAGACATCGAACATGTACTGTCGAAACTGGTTATCCGTCGCCCCGACGAGCTGCCCGCAGAACGAGATCGAGGTGAACGTGTCCAGCCCGTCGAACACCAGCCACGTGGAATCATAGTCCTCTCCTCTATAGTAATCAAAGGTTCAGATTAGCCAGCTCAAATTCCTTCTCACACAAAACAGACCCAAATCTCTATCACCAAGGTAACAGGAGCGAATCACTTACAAGCCTTCGATTTTCCCACTGGTGTACGTCCAATTGGCATCCGCAATCCACCTCAGATTGAAGTCATTTAAATCATTATACCTGTGCAGAGCCTTGTTAGAAAAGACCGCCGAACGACATGCAGTACCCTCTCGAAAATTAGGGGATCATCGGAGCAGGGTGCAGGTCAACACTTACGGTTCATCTGTAAACATTCAACACAGTCAGCAAATCTCAGCCCGGAAACCAGTTGGCAAATAAGAGAAACCATGATCTCACCAATTATTCCCTCCCGCAAGAGATCCATATGTACCTGAGACGGAAACTGGGCCGGCACCGTACGATTCAACGCGGCACTGCTGAGTGTCCATTGTTCAGCACCCAGGTCACGGACATATTGGCTTTTGCTCGCTGAGGGCAAGAATAATACGCCTAGCAGCGTGATGGCTGTTGTGGGAAGCGCACGCATGGTTGTTCTTTTGCTTCAGCAGGGAAAAGAGGGAGCTTGTAGATGATGGTTGTTTCTTGATCCACGCTCCACTTGCGGGCAAGAAGAGGGGGTTTTATCTCATGTCACGACGACAACCAGGAAGAATCGGAGTTCAGCCGAGACAATAATGAGTGACGTCTTGCCATCCTGCAGCAAGGGTCCAAGTCTGAGCGACTAGACTATATAAGTCAAAGTGACGGAGCCAAGGGAGGGGGAAGCTGGTTGTACGGAATGTCCGGACGGCAATCGGACAGGCCACATTTGTGCTCTGGTATGCGGTGCTGGATATTTGGTTACTCGGGTCTCCGCTTGGCGATTTGGAAGCTTCATCAGGCCATTGAGGCATGTCCAAGATGAAGACCAAAGCCAATTGTACGACCGAATCCATGTAGGACCGGATAAATGGGAAGAGAGATGAAGGATGGAGGTTGGAGGGAGAAACAAACCAAACAAGCATTAAATTGACTAGTGGGCGGAGGTGCAGTGCAGATCCCCGCCCAGGAGACAGAATCAGAATCGATGTAACCTTGGCTTTACCCACTCGTTCGCTTCAATTGTGCAATTATGCGAGTATCAACGTATGATGCATTATGTTTAACCGGCTGCCAACCCAATCCATCCATCCCAGACGCCATGCAATCGAATTTATCCCTGCAACATGGGTAAAAATACAGGCCTTATAAAAATACAGAGGCAGAAGCCGAGCTCATCATAAACAGAAAAGAGAGAAATGTTGATACAATTGGAAGTGAGAGACCGTCAGTCCACAACGCCTTAGCCCTCAACGGCCGTGGCCAGAGCCTGCTGCGCGAGCTTACGGTTTCGCTTCACCAGAGCATTGAGTTTCTTGTCAATCGTGTCCAGTTCCTTGCGCGACGACTCCAGATCCTTCTGCGATTTGACCGCGAAGGAGCGTAATTCTTCGGTCGTCATGCCCACCACATCGTCCAGGTCGGGAATACTGCCCATGACAACGCCCGCTGCACCCAACATATGCTTAGCCGTGGCGGCGGCAAAGGAGCGTACCGAAGTGGCCGTTGCGTTCACCAGTTCGGCGGTGTTGGCAATAGCCCAATTGTGGCTTCGGGTGCTGTCCGCTTCCATGGCCGAGAGAACATTGGGCGGGGCAGGGATGCTTGACGAATTGATCACCTCGGGCGCGCCAGACAGAGATGCTGACGCGGACACAGCAGAAAGGGTAACCGAGTTCTCGTCCGCCCAGCAGATATTGAAGTTCTCCGGTGTGGCGAAGAGAGCATCGAGGCCACCAACGCGATTGGTCACATCTGGTTCCGTGATGGGAGCAGACGAGTATTCCTGAAATGATTCAACTGCCCAAGCAATGCTCTTCTCCAGCGCTAGATAGCGGTCTTCCTCTTCCTGCGACAAATGACGAAGGACACAGCCGCGAGGGGTGATCAGACAGCGGTCCTTCAACAAGCCAGGGTCCGAGTGAATACGAATGGGCTCTCCACGGAGCAAAGCCTTTCGGTGTTCCTCGGCAAGTTCAATTGGCTGTTTCAGAATCTCATAGTCGTCCGAGGTGCACTTCATGTCAAACCGCTGGTTGAGATTGGTGGGGTTGAACAAGGGGTGATGATTCAGATCCAGGTGGCCCGATTTGTGGAGTTGGGCGAGCAAAACTTGCAAAGAGGATGTTCGTTCGGCGAACAGGTCCTTGATGGAACCGCTGCTGGACTCTGCATCCTTGATCAACTGTTCGACGGTGTTCTTTGAACGCCAAGCTTCAGCAGGAGTGCTGGGCTCGGGAGTTGCTTTCACCTCGACAGGAGAGGGGCTGGCCTCCTTGGACGCCTTCTCCTTGGATTTGGCCTTCTTGACAGCTTCAGCTCGCTGTTCTACCTTGCCGTTGCCCTCAGCACTAGCCGGAGTGACGGGCTTTCCAGCTTCCCCGGCGGTTTCTGGCGCTGCAACCGAAGTGTCGGGAGTGGTCACAGGAGTCTTCTTAGTCTTTCGCTTGCGGCCAATGATGGGAGCTTGGACTGGCTCTTCCGCGATAGTAGAAGTCTCCTGCTTCTTGGCTTCCGCTTCCTTGGCCTTCTGGCGTCGCTCTTTCTTAGCCTGACTCTTGGTGATAGCCCGGACAGGAGCAGAGCCAATTCGCGAGGAAGCGGGAGGGGAGTTGGCACGGGACACGGATGCCGATGTGTAAAGGTCGGCTTCGGATCCAAAATCGCCTGGAGTATCTGGCCTGCTCATGGACGATGTGCTAGGACGTCTAGAGCGAGCTTTGTTGGCAGCTGGTAGAGAAGAGACAGACTGCGGGGCAGAAGGAGGGGGCGGAGTCTCTGTCTTAGGCGTGTCAACCACCCGAAGCACCCTTGGCTGCCGTGGAGCAGAAGAATCGGAGACCCGTGAGACACCGGTCAACGGGGTATTGGGACGAGAGCCGATGGCGGAAATTGGTGCTGGCCCGTGCGTGCTAGGAACCGATTGATCTGCTTTAGGAGCATCCTGAGGAGTCCCCAGGGAAAGGTCCAATTTGATAGGCTTCGACTTTACCGGGGTGGAAACAACCTTCTCGAACGCAGAGGTAGGCTTGGACGCGCCAATGGGCTTCTTTTCAGTTGCAACAGCTAGGTCACCCTTGGCTTGCGAGCGAGCTTTGCTTGTGGATTTGGGTACGGGCGAGCCTAGTGAGATCTCCGACACATTCTTGACGCGACTTGAAGCGGGTACATCGTCAGGGGCATCCTTTACCTCAGGCGACGGCTGTCGGGAGATGTCTCCCCGAAACGCTTGAGATGGGGTCCCTAGTCGAGAGAATGGTGGGTTCAAGCCAGGCGGCACGGACACCGAAGTCGTTGGACTGGACGGATTCAAAGGACTTTGAAACAAGGCCGATGCGGGGTGCGCGTGTGGAAGAGGAAGGCCGGGGGGCAGCGTTGGGGTCCCAGCACGAGCTGAGCTTTGCGAGTCGCTAGCAAATTGAGAGCGAATAAGATATCCGAAGCTGTCAACAGGACGCTTGTCCTTTGGCGGCGCTCCCAGAGGAGGGAATTCTTCGTCAACTAAAAGACCGGCCCGGTTAGCCATCTTCAAGTGAGAGATGCATGGGTGGGTGTGATGTCATGTAGAGGTGACAAGAGCAAGAATGACGAAATCCAAACGGCAAAAGCAGCAAGATAAGAACAGACAGGGCATGCCGACAAGACTCTCCCAAGACAGAACGAGACGACGCGCAGATACGAAAGGGGCAGGCAGGCAATTAATTACATAAAGGTCCCCAACCGATGTGGCCAGGAAGACACACAAGGCATAGTGTCTAAATGAACAGTGGTTGTGAGAAATTGGTTTCGGATAGAGGACCCTGCTTGTGTTTATGAAAAGCCAGGGCAGGGAGGTTAACGTACATGAAAACCATGACCAGACCGATTGGGCCACCAAGTTGCTGATAGGTCAACGCAGCATGGATGCAAGAACAACAGTAGTAAACGAGAGCCGCCAACTTGCAGTGGACCTGGAAAACACAAGGGGCCCATGGGGTGCAAGGACGCCATATCTGCACGCGCGAATCGAGGACAGCAAAAGCAATAAGCGAGAGGAAGACAGAGATACAACAGGTCAAATAGAAGCAACGCAGAATCGAAGAATTCCATGAAAGATAACGCCAAGGGCACGCCCCGCCCGAATTCCTTGTTTTTTCAAGAGCCGTTTGCTTAATGCATCGTTGCAAAGTGGAATATGTCGCAAAGGTTTCAACATCGAATGAGAAAGGGCAACATCGCAATGAGGAATAAGAGAAAGATAAGAGATCATGTCCCAGACCCATCTAGGTAAGTATGATATCATGTCATCAGGAACAAAAAGAAAACGGGGGAGGAGATAGAAGCGCAAAAGGCATACGCGAGGTGGCGGGGTTACATGCGGAGAAATAGGGTAGTCATCATGAGCAACGGGAAGTAAAGGGAGGGGAGGGGGAACGACAACGCAATTAGGGCATTATGAAGGCGTATGGATAAGATGAAATGGGAAGGGAAACAATCACCAGCGGTTGAAGCCGCCGCCATACATCATGGTCTGATTGTACCCACCTTGGCCCTGACTCCCGTACAGTGCTTGCCCAGCAGTAGCAGCAGCATTCTGATGCATCCTCGCCTGTAGGATGCTCGGGTCCGCAAGATCTACTACACCACCTCCACCGGAGGAAGTGTTAGCGTGTCTGTGCTTCTTCCCCTTCTTCTTCTGCTTCTGTGGCCCAGATTCGGAGAAGGTCCCCGGCTGAGAGCCATAGAAAGAGCTGAGAAGGCCATTATTGGCAGGAGTCAGGGGAGGGGGGGTTTGGTGCTGCTGAAGGAAAGGAAGGATGAACTCACGCTTAGCGGCCTCTTGACCCTGCAAACCACTGGCACCGGCACCATTGCGGCCACGCAGCAACTCACGCATCAAGTCGGGGTTCGCTTCTTGCTTGCCGATACTGGCTCCAAGTCCGAGACTAGTGTTCGTGGTGAAACCGTGTCCTTGGGCGAACATACCACCGCCGCTGATCGGAGGCGTACCAGCCGTCTTCAAGCCAGGGGGTGGTCCCTGTACACCACTGGGAAAGTAGCCACCGCTGAGTCCGTGCTGTGGACTGGGCGCTGCGAGCGGATTAGGGGTACCAACAGTTTGCATCAACGATGCCTGTTGGCTCAGCATGCGAGCATTATGAAGATTCTTCGAGTTGACCTCGTTGGCGAAAGAGAAACGGGAATTCTGGCGATTTTGAGCCTGAAGCGAATTCAACTGCGCCATCTGACTCTGGAGAAGACCCTGGCGAACCTGGGCGGCTTGATCTAAAGCAGCGGAGCTGAGACCGCCCTGAAGCTGGTCCATGGCAGCGCGGTCGTTGGCAGACTTCAGAATGAGTAGCTGGTGTTGTTGTTGGGGTGTCAAGCTGCGACCGGCTAGGTTGAGTTGCTGGTTGAGTTGTTGGAACTGGTGGCTTGTGGCAGACACAGGAGAGCCCACAGCGGAACTCTCGGTTGTGCCTTGCTGGGAGGGAGGTTGAATAGCACCGTGAGACTCGCGGCCGCTGCGACCCCGAGGGGGAACAACATCGTCGGGCTCACCACCTAGCTGCAGGCTTCCACTCTCCCGACTCTCTTCCTCGGCAGACGCTGACTGTAGCAATTCTTGTTCCCGTCTGGCGCGCTCTTGTTCGGCTTTTTCGCGCATGGCGCGACGTTTGACGCCACCATACGGGTCGATGAAAGAGGGGTGGTTCTCAATCAAGGCAATCTCTTCCGCAGGCAGACCAGCCGCCGAGAAGATGAACTTGAAGTCGGGTGAGTTTACGGCCTTAACAAGGTTGTCCAGCAATGGAGTCTCGGGTTGTGGGGGTGTCTGCAAAGGCTCAAGCGAACGCGGGGTCGAGGATCTACGGTCCGGAGGAGAGGGCGATTGTTGAACGGGCTCCTGCTGCGTAGAGGGCGGCGACTTTTCCACGGGTTTCGGTTCTTCCAGAACAGGCGCGACCGTAGCAGTAGCAGGCCGAGGGCTCTGTGACGCTTGACTGCCTGTGAGACTAGCCCGTCTAGCACGACTCAGAACAGCGTCCTTGTTTGCCCAACTAGCCGACGAGGGAAGAGCGGGGCCATCGGGGACCCGACTGCCGGCTGCATCGTCCCGACTAGGTTGACGACGCATCGGTTGCGACAAAGGTTGAGCAGAGGTTCGAGTAACGTGCGGGGGGATGGCGTAGGCGGGAGCAGTAGGAGCACCGTTAGGCCTTTGGCTTGACAGGGTATTCATGGACGAGAGATCCTGACGGCTGTAACTATCGCTATCCTCCCCAGTTTCGTGCAGGAAGGTACAGTTTCGGTTGTGGCATTGTTCGTTGCGGAGGAAGGACGAGCAATATTTCGTGGTTCCGTATTGCGCCCTGCTACTGTTAGTTTCCCGAGTGCCGGTCGCAACGCGCCCAGTGAGAAGCGCGGAGAATCCACCTACCGTAACACCCGGTCACCATTAGCCGACCCATCAACCGCCGCTATGCAGGTTGCGGCATCCTGCTTTCTCGCGTACGTCACGTAAACGCCGATACCCTGGTTCGGATTGCCACCAGGCTTTGCCTTGCTGACGACGATCTTCTCGATATCACCATATTGACCGAAATAGTCTCTGCCGCGCAGCGTCTGCAGAAGCTGACTCTCGTCCCGTATTGTGGGGTTGAGACCGATCACGTAGACGAGATTCTTCTGCACGACTCTGACGCCGGCCAGGTTCTTCCGACTGGAGGCTTCGATCTCGCGTTTCTCGGCCTCCTTCTTTTTCGCAGCGGCGGCTTTGCGATGTTTGAGGGCGAGATCTGCCTTGAATCTAAAAAAATTGCGGAACAGAACCGGTTAATGCCAAGACCGGTCCGAGGATTGGTGCAAATCAACTTGCGGCGGGAGCGACTTACTCGTCGGCATCAGGAACCTTGTATTGGATAGTACTTTCATCGTAGACACGTCTGCAGTTGGGGCAACGTCCTTCTTCACTGTGGGTCTTGATGTTGTTGTAACAGAATTGACAGATCTGCGAATGTATACGAGTTAGATTTGAGACGTGGTGTTCGGTGGAGCCAGACGCGAAGAAAGCTGGTTGACTCGGGCAAGGGCGGACACGTAGGAGAGCGAAAGACGTACCTGATATCCACAGGGACAAGGTTTGAAGTTCTTATCCGACAGATCGAACTCTTCGATACAGAGAGGGCTAGAAGAAGTCAAGGTTGTCAGCCCGAGAATTCGAGCACCCGACGGCGCAAGGCCACACGTACCAGAACTCGTCATCATCGTCGATGACGGAATCAATCTGTTGACGACTTGACATGATGTAGTGTCGAAGGGAGACTGTGAGATGTACAAGTGAAATCGGGGACGACGATCACAAGTAAAGACTAACACCCATCAACCGAAACGGGGCGGAAGGGGAGGGAGGAGGGGGGAAGTGAGAGAGGATGGAGAGTCAAAGAGAAAAGGGAGCAGGAGAGGCAAGTAAATGAGCGCCCAAGAGGAAAGAGAGGTTTTAAGAAAAAGCAGGACCGAGTCCGGAAAAGTGATTATAGAAACGTGGGGTAAATTGGGGCGGGCTATAGGGAGGGAAGGAGAAGCAAGCGAAGCAGCAGCAGCAGGAGGAGGAGGGACGCACGACGCAAGAGCGAAAGAGGAGAGTTGGAGGCGAACAGAGAATAGCGAGAAGTGAAGCTTTGCTTGATCGGGTTTGCACGTGTTTGCCGTGTTTGCACCTCTGTTCTGCCTGAGGCTGTTGGGAAATTCCTCGGGATCGGCCGCTTATGTCAATGCTCGATTCACGTGACCGTGCACATCTTGGGGCAAAAGCTCCAATTGCAAGGGAACCTCCGCCGCCGTTGCTGCTGCTGCTTGAACCCCCCCCCCCGTCTCCGCCCCCTTCTCATTCTCCAACTCATCACCTCTCAGCCATTGTTCCTTGTCGTCATGGCTGCTACTCGCTCCCTGATGCGGCTGGGCACCGGTCGTGCCTTGTCCTCCGCCACCCGGTCGTCCGCCCGTGCTTTCTCCTCGACTGTGTTGAAGGCCTCGTCGACCCCGGTCACCGATCATGTCCCCAACATGCGCCACGCCCAGCGCTCTCGTATGTCCATCAATTGCACTCCTGGCCCTTCCATCCGCGACCACCGCGCCCTTCACAATGGGCAATTTCATGTTACCACACCCCCAAACTAACCCGTGAATCTACTCAAACCAGCTGAGGGAGCTCTGCGCGCCCCCGTCGTCAACCCGGCCGACAAGCACCAGGACAAGGCGGAGGGCCTGCACAAGTACGGGCAGTACATCATGTCGTGCCTGCCGAAGCACGTGCAGCAGTTCTCGGTGTGGAAGGACGAGCTGTGCATCTACGTGCCGCCCTCCGGCCTGCTCCCGACGATGACCTTCCTGAAATACCACACGGCGGCCGAGTACACCCAGATCTCGGACATCACGGGCGTCGACTTCCCGACCCGCGACCAGCGCTTCGAGGTCGTCTACAACATGCTCAGCGTGCGCTACAACTCGCGCATCCGCGTCAAGACCTACGCCGACGAGGCCAGCCCCGTGCCCAGCGTGACGGGCCTGTTCGAGGGCGCCCTCTGGTACGAGCGCGAGGTGTACGACATGTTCGGCGTCTTCTTCACCGGCCACCCGGATCTCCGCCGCATCATGACCGACTACGGCTTCGACGGCCACCCGCTGCGCAAGGACTTCCCCTTGACCGGATACACGGAGCTGCGCTGGGACGAGGAGAAGAAGCGGATCGTCATCGAGCCGCTCGAGTTGACACAGGCCTTCCGGAACTTCGAGGGTGGCACCACCGCCTGGGAGCCTGTTGGTCCGGGTACCAACCGGACTCCTGAGTCGGTATGTTTCTCAGGTGATGAAGCAATACAAATCGGGAACCCACTAACATGCTGATAGTTCAAACTCCCTACTCCCAAGCCGGAGCCCCCCAAGGAGGAGGAAAAGAAATAGGAGGCTTAGCTTAGATGGTTTTTTTTTCTTCCTTAATTTGTTCTGTATGTACATATCGCGTCTATGCCTGAATTATTTGTGACGTTGATGTTCGACCACCGTTTGATGTAGTTCGAATAACCGTCTTTCCTTTAAATACTGCCATTGTAATCTGTCTCCTCCAGTTTCCGACCTGACATTTATGAAGCGAACGCAGCTACACCCAATGAAACAGAAAAATAACGACACAAGTCCAATAACAATGCCATCCCAAACTACGTCAACCCCAAGGAAACCGTCGAGGCCCGGGCACCTGCTGGCAGGTCCATCAAAAACCTCAAAAAAGCCCACCAATAACCGCCCCGCTAAAGTCATCGCCCCATCAACCAATCCTATTCCCCCAAATCCCGCTCCGCCTTCTTCACCGTCCACGTTCCCAAAAATCCCTCCTCCGCCTTGGCAGAAATGTAAATTAGCAGTTACAATTATTCCAGCCGCAATCCCGCATCCCCAAAAAAACTTCCTTAATCTTGAACCAAACACCAACATACAACCTTTACTCTTCCTTGAAAACGATATTCGCAACCAAAAAAAATGCCCAAACGCAAACTCTCCGACCTCACGGACAATAATGTCTCCACCGATAAATCCGACGCCCGCTCCCTGCACATCCAGACCGTCCGGCTCAAGCAGAAATTCTCCCAGGGCGTCGAGTCGCTGGCCAAGGCGCTGAAGCTGGCGCGCGGGTTCGAGCGCCAGAAGTGGAAGCGGCGGGAGAAGAAGGTCAAGGAGGAGGGGAAGGAGGGCGCGGTGGAGAGGATGGCTGAGGAGGCGGGGATTTTGAGGGTATGTACTATTCCTGCTGCCGCTGTCGTTCCGGGTCTCCGTGCTAGGCGGGGGATCTTGGTCTTTGTTGTGGACTCTCTTTCCGCGATCGTGTTTTGTTGTTTTGTCTGCGATGCTAATGTTGAAACTTTTTTACACATAGGACCTGGACCCCGTTAAAACAGCGCAGAAATACCTCTACAAACAACTCCTCAAAACGAAACGGATCGCCGAGTCGCCGACTTTCAAGGAGTTCCAGGAACACATGGGCAGCAAGTTGTCGGCGGAGGGACCGAAGAGTAATTTTGAGGCCAACGTAACGGCCCGCTTGTACAAGTCGACGCCGGTCAAGAATGTGTTCCCGGGGATTATGGACGGTATCCGGTCGTTGTTGAAGATCGATGAGACGAAGCCTGCGCCGGCGAAGGCGACGGCTGAGAAGAAGAAGACAAAGAAGGACGAGAAGCCGAGGAAAACGATTGCTGCGGACGAGGTTTCGGATAGCGAGGTAGAGGAGGGCCGGTCACGAGCGCAGCGCGCGAGTGCGGAGGGCGACGGAGATGTCAGTATGGACGATTCGGAGAGCGTTGACTACGCGATGTACGATGGGTTACTCGCGTCGGGCTCTGAAGATGAAGACGCGGACGACGCGGAAGAGACCCGGCGGCAGATGCTTGGCGACGGTGACGATCACGATGAGGACGATGAGGAGGACGAGGACGACATTGATACTCGCATGTTACAGCGAAGACCCCCCTCTGATATGTCAATCTCGCGCTCTCCCTCCCCGGAGGTAGACGAGGAAGAAGAATCCGATTCGCCCCCCTCAAAGAAGGCCAAACCAGCCCAAAAAGGCACCGCAAAGCCCGCGACCAGCACTACCTTTTTGCCCTCCCTCATGATGGGCGGATACTGGTCGGGGTCCGAGTCTGAAGCCGAGGATGTCGACAAAGAAGCCGCTGAACCACCCCGACGCAAGAACCGGATGGGTCAACAGGCGCGTCGGGCGCTGTGGGAGAAGAAATATGGTGCGGGAGCAAACCATGTCAAGCAACAACAACAGAAAGGCCGGAAAGGGAGAGATGGTGGTTGGGATCCGCGAAAGGGAGCGACAGACGGCAATTCTACTCCCATTGGCAGAGGGAGGTTCGGTCATGGTGCAGGTTCCGCGTCCGGCCGGCCGCAGCACGATGGTGGTCGGCCTCAGCGAGTACCCCCCAAGAAGCCACAGGATGATAAGCCCTTGCATCCATCCTGGGAGGCAGCAAAGAAGGCCAAGGAACAGAAGGCTACGGCTTCGTTTGCGGGTAAGAAGGTTGTGTTCGATTAGATATCCCAGTCTTAGCATGTATATATTTCAGCTTGAATTCTAGCCATTTGCAACCATCTAGGATGGACCTTCTGATATATGTTATGTAGACGAAGTGTCTAGACGGACCAGTGAATATACACGATCTAGGTATCTTAAAACAGATTCATGGCAGTACAACCGCCAAGCAAGGACCCCAATAATGCAGCGCTGTCAAAATCACAAAAGACCGGCCAGTTGTCGGTAATACTATTCATTCATAAAATTCATCCACCGCGTGTCGGAAGACCCGGGTTTCAACTCCCCGGTCAAGCTGGACTGATTGTCGGTCTCGAAGCACGGAATCGCGGTAAATTCGCCCAATTCCTGTGGCAAGTTTGCAACGAAATGATCAAGCCCGAAGTGCGGCATCTCCGACAGCGGATGAGACACAGAGAACTCGGTCGAGTCAGGGATACTGGGATTGGCAAGCTCCCCTTCTGCCGGTTCATTCATTGGTGGTGGACCTGTCATAGGTGTCATCACAGGCGGCAGTCCACCACCACCGGATGGGTACTGCTCAGGGAACGATATTGGGTCGGGAGAGATTGGTCCCGTCTTCCAAAGCATTTCCCAGTTCTTGAAGCGGTCATAGGCCGACTCCATCATGCCAGCAGTGCCTTGGGGTTGCGTCTGACTGTACTCCTCAAAGCGACGAATTGCCCGCTCAAGTGTTTCAATGACACTCACAGCGGATCGGGCAGATCCGACACCCATCGACATAATCTTGATGAGGGCCATGCCTTTATCGAGGGCCTCACGCAACCGCTCTGTGCGTTTGGTCAAGCTCTGGGCAAGAATGACAAGAAGAGCAGCACGGCAGGAACTGAACTCGGTGAATGAAGCACGGGCGAGACCAGGCTCATCCCGCAGCAAACGGCATAGGTCGATGATCTCAAGCGCTGCTTCCACGCAGTCAGTGACTAGTGTGGAGCGATTCTTCGATAGACCCGAAGGCGTCTTGACCGGGGCGCCCGGGACCGTAATGGCTTTCATGCTGCTAAACAGGAAGGGCCGTCCAAGGAAGATCCGAGTCAGACAATAATCCAGCTTGAGATGCACATTGGAGCGAAAGAGAGGACCAGACGGATTGAGATCCCGGCAATTAGTTTCTTCCGGCAACGTTGACCACCAATCAACCAAGCATTTCCGAAGGTTCAGTAATCGTTCGAGACAATCCGATTGTTGGTTCTTTCGCGATTTACGGAGAATAGATCTGACTCTATGTTAGCTATATGTAAGATCCTAGGATACCTCGCCACGTACATCTCGTTGGCAACTTGGCCAAGTTTCAAGGTCAACTTGATGAGCGTCACCATATTTATGTCATTGGCTAAATGTCCAGAAGGAGTCAAGCCCGGAAAGTCAGTTGGAAAGGGAGCATCTACGTCCGCATCGGATAGCGATACCGGTCGCCCATGGAGAATGCTGACGCGCCTAAAGAGTGTCAGTAGGTATCAAGCAGCTGAAACGTTGGATTGGCCACCTACTTCTCGATCGTGTATGCCGTCCAGAAGACACGATTGCGGATCTCCACCATACGAGGTGACATTCCCTCCCCCGAATACTTTCGGTGCATGCCATTTTGAATGGCCATCTTCAGGGCTAGACCAAAATACGTATAGCATAGACCCGACGTATCTAGCGGCAGAAGATAAGTACCGATCAAAAGACAAGCCTGGACGCTTCGAACGGAAGCTGTGGCAATGATGTCGGGAAGCAGTTTCGATGCAAATTGATAAAAGGTAAGACCGACATCATCTTCGGAGAAGTGGTGGTCGTCGGCGAAGGCAGAATTGGAGGACAGGCGGTTGACAGGTGTGGCCGATTCCATGTGTGCGAACTGAGTACCCACCGCTAATACCATTAGGATAGCACATACCGTGCCTGCATCCTTAGAAGAGAGGCTCGATGGGTCCGTGTAGCATATGTTTAGCTTATCCTTCAACCAGTCTTCTTCAACGTAGAAATTATTCGTCTGCGCATACTTAAAGAAGATCTGCACCAGAAAGTCTGCCACAAACCGAGGTGGAAGACAGGTCACCGAGGTTGATACTAGGGTCGATCCGGACTGTAATTGGGTTGCCCGCCAGCGCTCTTCAAATGGCTCTGTCTCTGTGGATGCCTGGGAAGAAGTGAGCGAGTAATTCGCCGACAGGCGACCACTAGTTTGCATACCTCTGGTCCAGCATGTTTCATCCATTCGTCAATCTTTTGTCGAATCTTCATAGAGAAGTTGAGATACGAAAATTCTCCGGAGTATTCTAAAAACGAGTCAGACCACCCAAGTACATTCCGAAACAATCCCAGAGCACCCACGTGTAGTATTATCCGGCAGAGCCTTGATGGTGAAATCCTCATCGTCAATTGCCAGGTCCTCCAGGTCTTCGCCGTCGAGCTGCGTTGAAGATGCCTCTGTGCCAGATCCTCGATGTTTGTGTTTCAACTCTTCGGCCATCTTTCGCAAAGTATGGACATCGAAGGAAATGTTGGGGACATAATGCTGGAGGATGCGCTCCATGCATCGGACACGCTCCGACTCGGCGATCTCATGTCCTCTGAGGGCTGTGCTTCGTTCGAGTAGCCTAGATTAATAACGGTATTAGTCTCTGCCATTATTGAATTCGAGGTTCGAAGATTTGAGACTCAAGATGAGGGGGGTGGATGGCCTTACGAGATGGAGGAGGAACGGGCGATCTTCTCCGCATGGTCTGGATGAGTAAAGACGCATTGTCGCTGATAGCGGAGACATCGGCGACACGGAACGCCTCCTTCGCATTTTTCCTTCACTCGGCGACAACCATCACAGCTAGAAATTGGTTATTGTGAGTAAGGAGACAAAGACCCTGACAGGAGAATATAATCGTCTTACGCTCGCACGGCTCGTTTGCGATTCTCCTCGGAAACGCGGGGTCGTTTCTGCGGGCCCGTACCAGCAGGGGTGGTTGAGCCCTCATCCATGGCTGTTCGAAATCAAGGAGGGCGATGCAGCGACAGGCGCATGGTAGGGATTAGAGCATGGACATGTGGGGTGCGTAAAAGCGACAGCCTGGAGGGGAATGGGGGGGTAAGAGCTGAGGTATGTCTGTAGGAAGAGTAGGAAAGTAGGAGATGATCCCGAAGGAAGAGAAGGCGGTGTTGACGGAAGATAGGAAAAAATGGCCCGGAGTTTAATCCATCCTCTCCAAAGGGGGGGGGGGGGGGGAGGGAAAGGAACCAGAAGTCGAACTGATAAGCCGTGGGTGCGGGTTTGGCTTCGCCCCCAGCGTTAGTCTGGCTAGCCAGCCAGCAGTCACCTCCAGCCATGATCAACACAAGCATGATCTTGCACTAACTTATACCGCCATAGCTATCAGTACAATTCAACACCAATCAGTTCTTTTATCAAAACAGAAGGGTTGAATTGTCTGCAAGTAACTGATTGATTACGATCAAGTCAGTCATTTGGTCACAATATCTAATTCCACCGTCAACACGCCATCGCTTCAAAAGCCATCTACTTCCATGCCAATTCCCCTCTCCCGTCCAACATCCAACAGCTTGTTTCCGATGACCAGATCCATTATCCCCATGCCCACACATTTAAATACCACATTGCACCCCTGGGGTACCTCCACCGGCACTTCCCTACCTAACTTCCCATACAACTCACCAACTTCAATCAACTGCTCTTCCTTCACCCCGGCCAGAATCAACTCGCCCGACTCCTCCAAACACGCCTCCTTCAAGTCCACGTAGACTTTCCCACCGCCAGAGAGCAATGTCTCCGTATCAATCTCCCGCATATGCGGCTTATACGAGCCGATCAGCGAGATGAACCGTTGCCGGAACGGTTGTAGATATGAAGCCGGGAAATTCGGCTCTGTGGCAGGCGTACAACTGAACAAGACATCGCAGGTCTGCAGTGCCGCCCGCAGCTTCTCCTCCCATACGTCGTCGCCTACATGATCTTTCGCGACCGTTGAGATCGCAACGTCCGGATACGTAGCCCGCAATTGTCCCAAGACCTCTGTCTCCAACTCTTCCAGGCGTTTGCGACCACGGTTCAGGATGGTGATCGAACGTACTTGTCCTGGGAACAAGAGGAGAACTAAGCGAGCATGCCATTCCGCCTGGCGACCAGAGCCGAGAATGACCACATTCTCCTTACTCATGGCCTGGCAGCGAACGAGGAGGGACATGATGGTCAGGGCTGTGCGGAAAGCGGTGATTTTGGCGGCGCTCAAGAGACCTTGTAGACTACCTTCGGGCGAGAAGATGTTGATGACTCCGATGAGGCCATGAGACTGAGAGGAAGTAACAATCTTGATACCCGTGCTGGCGGTGTTGGAGACGGGCATGAAAAGAGAGAGGTTTTGTTTCTTCGTGAGGATGGTGCTACGAAGGGGCTGGTGGATAAGGCGTTCCGTCTCTGGAGCAGTCGATTCATTGGAGACTGCGGTGAGAGAGTCGCAAAGAGCGTTGAGTAAGTCGTGGCATTGCGACTGGTTTAATTCGCGTAGGATCTGAGAAACATCGGGTTCAGCGAGGATACGCATTGTGAAATGGAATGAGGACGGCCAATTTGTTGGTCTTGAGAAGGGACTCGAGGAGGTATGAATGCAAATATGTTGTCGAGTAACCAGACCCAGACTGAACGGAAGTATATATTGTTTCTGTGGCAGAATACAAGATCCGGGCTTTTCCTGGCTGTTCACCTGTCTAAAGAAATACTAAGGATCAGCTAGCAAAGGTGAGCGACGTCGGAGGCGCTGGTCAGTTGAGGTCGGTGGTTGGGAGTTGATGCATCGGAGGTGCCTTCCGGTCTTAGTGACATCCCAAACAACGCGGGGCAAGTTGCCGACACCAGCCACTTAGTATGTGTAGCTCACTCTCGATATTCCGCTAGATTGTTCAACCTGAAGGCTCATTTTTAGTCTTTTCCCCATGTATATACTAGCAGATGCACTTCGAGTGAAGGTGCTATCTTTAGTTTACAATTCCCGGCGTGATGCCTCGCATTAGCTACTGTACTTTCTAGTTTCTTAATCATCCTTACGTTGTCTTATGACTCTCCGCAACCCCCCCTTCTATGTTGGTCGTATACATCTCTCAATCCGGTCGATACCAACAGCTTACTCCGTAGCTTTCTGGGGTAGATCGACTACAACAATTGCCACCAGGGAAAACCCCCGAGAAAGTCAAATTGTGGCAGAAAGCGACGAGGGAGGCGAATCTCTGAGGGATTCGAGATTCTACCAGGCTTTCCCTGTTCTACCAAATTTAAGATAGCTAAGAACCTAAGATCCCAGGATTCCACGACTAACATTCTTATCTTTGAAACACTGCAGACACAGTGGTGACTGGCCCCTTTTGTGAGGCTCTATAGTCAACACAAGCACCATTCAGGACACTGCAGCATCAAGTATCAGTATCCAGGCTATTGCCCGGTCGACGGGCCGGTGGTCGGAAGCCCCACCTGCGCAGCAACAGCAGGTTGACCGGGCCGGTCAAGCGAGAGATGACACTCGTTGGTATACCAGCATCTCCTCAAGAGAGAGAGAGAGAGAGAGAAGAAAGTGCGTGAAAAGGTCTGCTGTATAATATGAAAAATATATGCCTATTGTGTCTTCCATGTCATATAGGAGAATATACAGCTCTCAAGAGAGAAGGGGTAGTGCTGTAGTTGTAACTTCATCTGTAGGATGTAAGAGCCGGCTTGCCACAGCCGGTTGTCCTGAAATCTCAGGCAACGAGATGTGAGAGTTCGACCATCGGCCCGGAGGGCTGCAATCTAGGCCCGATCCAGTCTAGCGGTATATGAACAATGGGTCAAGCTTCGGCAGGCCAGGGACTGTTTCTCCAAACCATTAGGTAACATAAACTCCTCGTTGACAATAAACTACTTCACTACCGTACCATGAGGTGGATTCAATTGAATGCGGAGTTTCGACCCCGGATTTCCACAGTGGAATGCCACGAGGCTGATCTGACATCAATTCATCGCTGCCGCGAAGATCATTCGTAGAAATCCTTATACATGCACAATATCTCCTGCCTTGTTATAGACTTCAGTATAGATCAGATAAATCAGGCCGAGCATAGTGGCTGACTATCGCGCGCCATGCAGTGATTGCATCAGCCCGTCTCCGCCCCGGGAGAGATAAGCAGGAACTGGGTTTGATCACTCCCACCCAAACTCTTTTGCCTTCTCATTCGTATAGCAAAAGAGCAACCCAGGGAGATAAGGTGCCTATCCCCACACAAACCGCTCACCCCGACCACATCTAGGCCAATCACCACTTCCTTAGGGGCGTCATGCAGGCGATTCCTGGCTTAAACTTTGAGGTAAAATTATCATAGATGTTAATTGATACTGATAAGCGCGGCCAGAATTGCCTTCTGGGGATGTCGTGCTCCCCCCCGCTTCAGCAGCCGTCTTATAAAATGGCCCTAGTCACCAGGCATTTGGTCTTCAAGGCATTCAAATCGATCTTCCTGTCTTCCTGGCTAGCACATCATGGCCTCCGCTCCTACCTCCAAGTTTTCTGAGGAGGTCAAATATGAAGACAAATCTCCCAACGTCGACAACTATGAAGATCCAGAGGCCCTCAAGGGAGAGGTCCACCTAGGTCCCAACACGGAGACCCATCGGGGACTCTCGTCCCGCCAGCTGCAACTGATCGCCATCGGTGGATGTATTGGAACCGGTCTCTTCGTCGGGTCAGGCTCGACTCTTTCCACGGTCGGTCCAGCACCGCTTTTTATGGGATACTTGGCCATGTCGTCAGTTGTTTGGTTCGTGATGAACATGCTGGGTGAAATGACCACCTATCTTCCCATCAAGGGGATCTCCGTGCCATACATCATTGGCCGCTATACTGAGCCTAGTCTCGGCTTTGCTGCTGGTATGTCCTACTTTACCCCAAACTGCCAGACTAGTTGGGTGAGCGAGTGCTAACTGATTTCAGGCTATAACTATTGGTAAGATCGATTATCATCTTTGTTTCTTCGTACATGGTATTCATGGTTTGATTGCAGGTATTCATTTGCTATGTTACTGGCAAGTGAGGTCACGGCAGCGGGAATCATCATAGAATACTGGACCACTTCAGTCAACGTGGGCGTATGGATTGCAATCGTTCTCATTGGTATAGTCCTCGCCCTTACTATTAGAGTTAACTTCCTCGTCTAACAGTTGCTCAGTCATTTTGCTCCTCAATATTGTTGCTGTCTCTTGGTATGGAGAAGCCGAGTTCTGGTTTGCCGCTCTCAAGATCATCGCCATCATTGGGCTCATTATTTTGGGGATTGTCCTTTTCTTTGGAGGGGGTCCCAACCATGATCGGTTGGGCTTCCGCTACTGGCAGCACCCAGGCGCTTTCAAGCCGTACTTAGTCGACGGAAACACCGGTCGCTTCTTGGCTTTCTGGACTGCGTTCATCAAGTCTGGTTTCTCATTCATCTTCTCTCCCGAGTTGATCACCACGGCTGCGGGCGAGGTTGAAGCCCCTCGTCGCAACATTCCCAAGGCCACCAATCGTTTCATCTATCGGATCTTTACCTTTTATGTCCTGGGCTCTTTGGTCATTGGTGTTACTGTGGCCTACAAAGATCCAGATCTCCTGTCAGCCGTGGCCAGCGGCAGCTCCACTGCCAGTGCAAGTCCGTTTGTGATTGCCATTCAGAATGCAGGAATCTCGGGCTTGAATCATGTCATCAACGCAGCCATCCTGACTTCTGCCTGGTCATCGGGCAACGCCTGGGTTTTCGCTGGGTCCAGAACGCTATACTCGCTCGCTTGCGGGGGCCAGGCACCTCAAGTGTTTACCCGCTGCAATAAGAACGGAGTACCATGGGTGGCTGTCCTAGCTACTTGGGCTGTGGGACTGTTGTCGTTCCTCAATCTATCTAACTCTGGTGCAAACGTCTTCTACTGGTTCACCAACCTTACCACTGTCGGTGGCTTCATCAGCTGGATCTTGGTTGGCATTGCGTACTTGGTAAGCTCTTTACAATCGCGACGAACATTTGACCGGATCTGTGCTAACGTGAATGCAGCGTTTTCGCAAGGCAATGGACTTCCATGGCATGCTTGATTCACTGCCGTTCAAGACTACCCTTCAGCCTTACGGTACATACTATGTGATCTTCATGGTGACCTTGCTGACCCTCACCAATGGTTATGCTGTCTTCTTCCCGGGTAATTTCTCAGCGGCGGATTTCCTGGTCTCTTACATTGGCATTGTCTTCTTTCTGGTCTTCTACGTAGGTCACAAGCTGTGGTATCGGACTCCGTGGATGACAAAGGTGTCGGAGGTCGATGTGTTCACTGGCAAGGACGAGATAGATCAACTCTGTGAGAACGACTTTGAGCGCAAGCCGCGCAACTGGCTGGAGCGGGTCTGGTGGTGGATTGCGTGAGGAACATGTCGGAATGTGGGAGAGTGAAACTGCTAAGTGATTCTTCTGCGGGCAGAATGAGTTGCTGTAAATCTGATCTTGTATATAATGTTGAGAATTAGAGATACCTGTTCATTGAAATGTTGAGACAAAGGACATTGATGATGGCTATTTCAGTTGGAGCCAACCGGCATCCATGATACATTCACCAAACGCTGTGTCTGCCCCCTCTTTCCTGTTTTGTTATGCCAACGCTTCCCATCTCGCGTTTTCCTACCACGCGTCTTACACCTTTATTCTTCTCATCCACAACTTTTTCGTTTTGACACTCTATCAACTGAAGAGGCACCGTTGCTCGTCCTAATTTTCGGTGCTGAAGCTCTGTCTCGACGCATGCCACATATCACCAACCACCTCGCCTCTCTTCGCGGTCTGACTCCAAGTCCATCAGCCAAGGTAGCTCAATTGACAAGTTGATTGTAAATATAGGATCTCGATCGTGGCTCTAGCAATACACCAACTTTCGTCACACGTTCTCAAAGCACGAATTTACCAGGCCTTGCTTTACTTTAACCTCGGATGAAAGAAGACTGCGACGCCATGGTCGAAATCGACGAGCCTGTTCTCCCCCGACGTCTTGACCATCAAGCCTTGTACAACAATGGCGTCAGTCGCATCGAATACAAGTCCGGACGCTGGGTGCATATAGCTAGCCCCGGTGGTCCACGCACTGGCCGCGCCCCGGACCGCACCACCTTGGTGGTCGCCATCAGCGGCGACTGCCTGAGAAACCATGCGACCGGCCGCGCATCGGTGGGTGTATTTTGGGGATATGGCAATTTGAACAACGTCTCGACTGCATTAGACTCGTACCCGGGCCCACGCACCAGGATTATGTCCGAGCTCAGCGCCTGTTGTCGGGCCTTGCGTGACGGTCTACGCATTCGCCAGGAACGTCCCAGCTGCACGCCAGTGCAACGGCTGGTGGTGAAGTCAGACTCGGAGCGAGTGGTGAGTGGGATTACAGAGTATATGCCTCACTGGATCACAAATGGGTGGCGGACCAACAATGGAGGAGATGTGCCTTATGCCGGGTTCTACCTTGAGATCGGAGAGTTGATCGCGCAGCTTGAGAACGAGGGGACGGCGGTGGATTTCTGGTTTGTGTCACGGCGACTTAATCCGGATGCTCGACGGATGGCGAGGAATGGCCTTCGTCGCGATCCTTGAGTGGGATGTCGTTTCGTGGCGTCCGTCTGCATGGTACGGGATCGTTGACCGTTTCCAGGATGGACTTGTATTCATGCTGGGTAACACTGTGCAAGATGAGATGACTGGTTTGTGCTTTCACTACTCTACTACTATGAGACGGACATGCAGTGTTGATTGATGGCGTGTTCTGACGCTGTGGTCTTATCGGGCTCGAAGGGCTTGTCTTATCCTTATCGCTTTATGCGGGGGAAGACCCACTGGAGATCTGGGGAAATGAACTTAGGCAATTCAAAGACGTTTTCAAGACTTTAAGATTCAAGCTACGTATCAATGCCATGAACCAAAGTCATTTCTGTTAGTCAAGTGACATTTCATCTTAATTGCTTTCGTCGCTATGTGAAAATGCATGTTGGAAACGATATCTGGGGCGGTTCTGGAAGGCGAGTGACCGGGCCGGTAACTTTGACCCACCCGGCATGTGCCGGTATCCCTGATAGCTTGCGATGGCACTGGGTCTGATAACGTATCAATCTCTTACGCACACAGACAATCTGAACCCAATTTACCACGCACTTCCAACCGTTGATACTGATTTGAGTACTGACTCCCCGGGCAGGAATCAGTCTCGTTCCGGTCGAAAACCCCCTTGCATCGGCTGCATTTCCCATTGGCTGGTGCTGAGTCAGCCCACCGGCAGTAACCGCTTGTCCTCGCCTGCTCGCTTTCAATTAAAGCTTCGTGTTTCCCCGCGTCACCACTGCTGTTGCTCTCCTTTTGTTTTGTGTTGTGTCGTCTGGCTTTATCGCGAAAGAGAGCTTGTCATCATGCAGTCTTCGTTGCTCCTTCGCGCCCGGGGTCTCCCCAAATGCGCTTCCCTCTCCGTCAGCTTGGCTCGCCAGAGCTCTCGCGCCATGGGCTCCTACGCCACCTTCAAGGTTCCTCGCATTGACAACGAGCCTAACGTGAGTATTGGCGGCAATTGGTCGGTGTTGCTCTGGCTGATCTTTCATCAAATAGAAACACTATGCCCCTGGATCCCCCGATCGTAAGGCTCTCGAGGAAGCTCTCGCCCGCACCAAGCAGAGCGGCCCTCTCAACGTGCCCTTGGTCATTGCCGGCAAGGAGATCCAGAGCTCCGAGACTTTGACCCAGAGCAACCCTGCCTCCCACGCCCCCGTGGCCACGTACGCCAATGCCTCCGTAGCCGACGTCCAGGCCGCTATTGACGCCGCCCTCGAAGCCCGCAAGACCTGGTCCACCACTTCCTTTGCCGACCGCGCCAGCATCTTCCTCAAGGCTGCTGACTTGATCTCTACCAAATACCGCTACGACATCATGGCTCTGACTATGCACGGTCAGGGCAAGAATGCTTGGCAGGCCGAGATTGACGCCGCTGCCGAGCTGTGCGATTTCTTCCGCTTCGGTGTCAAGTACGCCGAGGAGCTCTACGCCACCCAGCCCGTCCACCACTCCCCTGGTGTCTGGAAGTGAGTCAATCGTCTGAATCTGCTGCTAAGGGTCAAACTAATCAGTTGTTGCAGCCGCGTTGAGTATCGCCCTCTTGAGGGTTTCGTCTATGCTATCAGTCCCTTCAACTTCACTGCCATTGGCGGTAACCTTGCTGGTGCCCCCGCCCTGATGGGTAACGTCGTTGTCTGGAAGCCGTCTCCTTCGGCCATCGCCTCCAACTGGCTCGTCCACCAGATCCTCCTTGAGGCTGGTCTGCCCAAGAACGTCATCCAGTTCGTTCCGGGAGACGCCGCCGAGGTGACCAACACTGTCCTCAACCACCGCGAGTTCTCTGCTCTTCACTTCACCGGTAGCACCTCGGTCTTCCGCAGCCTGTACGGCCAGATCGCCAACGGTGTCGCCGAGGGCAAGTACCGCAGCTACCCCCGCATTGTTGGTGAGACCGGTGGTAAGAACTTCCACCTGGTCCACAAGTCGGCCGACGTGCGCAACGCCGCTGTGCAGACCGTCCGTGGTGCTTTCGAGTTCCAGGGCCAGAAGTGCAGTGCCACTTCCCGTGCCTACGTCGCCGAGTCCGTCGCCGATGAGTTCCTCTCGATCGTGGCTGCTGAGGCCAAGGCTTTGACCATGGGCGAGCCCACCACCTTCACCAACTTCTGCGGCCCTGTCATCCACGAGGCGTCGTTCAACAAGCTGGCGCAGGTGATCGACGAGGCCAAGAACGACCCCGAGCTGGAGCTGCTGGCCGGTGGCACCTACGACTCGTCCAAGGGCTGGTACATCCAACCTACCGTCTACCGCACTTCCAACCCCGACCACCCTCTGCTGTCTCGCGAGCTGTTCGGACCCGTGCTCGTGATCCACACCTACGCCGACAAGACCGAGGCGGACTTCACCCGCATGTGCGAGAAGATCGACCAGACCGGCGAGTACGCGCTGACCGGATCCATCTTCGCCCAGGACCGCGAGGTCCTGCGTGCGGCCGACGATGCTCTGCGCAACACCGCGGGTAACTTCTACATCAACTGCAAGAGCACTGGTGCTGTTGTGGGCCAGCAGCCCTTCGGCGGTGCGCGTGCCAGTGGTACCAACGACAAGGCGGGCAGCGGCAACCTGTTGTCGCGGTTCGTGAGTCTGCGGTCGATCAAGGAGGAGTTCGTTCCCACCTACAAGGTCGCCTACCCCAGCAACGCTTAATGACGCTACGATGATTGTTGTATATGTTCCATGTTCGGTATAGGTTGCATAGTTCAGGCGTTCGGTAAAATATATCCATGTTCCACCCTATCATGTGTGCAAGTAGACCTCGCGTAGTTGTCTTGTCTTCACAATCCCGTTTACTATACTTACAGATTCATACCAGGGAATCCTCCCCGAACTCCTCATCTTGAAATCCAAAATCCAAAGTCCCTCAGGAAGAACACCTCTCCACAAACCGCGTCATACTCTCCATCCCCTCCCTCGCATACCCTTTCAGATCCACCTCCCTCCTCTTCCCATCAAAAACCTCCATCGAGAACCACCCCCTGAACCCCGTCCCCAACACCGCCCTCCCCACCTCCTCGATCGGCATATACCCGCCCTCCGTATACGGCAACGGCCGATAGTCATGACTCCAGCGCGCGCGGGGCCGCATCCCCTCCACCACTTCATCCTCCAAGGGTGGATCCGCCCGGTACGCGTCCGACACCTGCAGCAGGTAGATCTTGTCGGCGGGGATGGTCTTGGCGAGGCGCGCCAAACTCGCCGAGAACTTTTGGGGGGTGGAGAGATTGGCCTTGCCGTCGGTGGTGGGGACCAGGCCGTCCGGCGCGGTGGGGTCGGCGTACTCGGCCCCCGCGGTCTGGAAGGTGTCGAGGCAGAGGCCGATGTTCGGTCGGTCGACGGCTTGGATAAGGTGGTAGACGGAGGCCCAGTCCGGGCTGTGGCTGGACCAGCACCAGTTTTCGTAGGCGAGGCGCATGTTGTTGGTGGCGAGGAGGTCGCTGAGTTGGCGGAGGTCGTGGATTATGTGCTCGTGCAGGCTCGGGGTGGTGGAGAGGGAGGAGAGGGGGGTGTCTGTTGATCCGACCTGGGGGGTTTCGTTAGTTGTGAGTGAGAGTGGGAGTTGAGAGGGTATCGATGTATGGGGATGAGGGAAGGAGCTCTGTGTATAATTTGTCTGTAGTACAATGGCAGCATACCTGCAACATGTCACACCCCAGCACTTCCATCAAACTAATCCACCCCCTCGCCCGCTTGAATGCATCCTCTCGCTCTTTCGACCCCTCGGGCCATCCCTCGAAATTGGCAAACGGCTGCAACATCATCACCTTCACGTCCAACCGATCACAGACTCCTCGAATCTCCTTGGCCACCTCCCGCAGCGCCTCATAGTCATCTTCGGCTACCTCTTCCCCTCGAATCTCCTTTGCATAGGATAGAATATCCGGAAAGGCGAGCTCCACCGCATGGAAGCCCGCTTCAGACAGTGCCTCCAGCTTAGCCGGGAGGCTGTCGGTGGGCTTGCCGATCGAACAGGTCGCAAATGAGAAAGGGATATCGTGTGCCATATCTTCTTATGTTAAACTCAGTCAAAATCAGTGATCAAACTCAGTAAGCAATATCGAAATCAGGATCCGATCATTGGGGGTTGTTAAATATATCTACAGGTTTATACAATCAGGATGATGTCAGTTACGGTAACTAATTAGGGCTGATAAGATCCGAATGTCGGAATGATGTAACCTCTGCGTCGACCCCATCTTCTCACCACTTTAAAAAACCAGCATCGCAGTCATGTAGAGTCCAACAAGAGCTACAATTAATTCATTACTATCGCCATCATGTTCTCCAAAATCGGCATTGTTGGGGCCGGCAACATGGGCTCCATGATGGCCTTCGCCTTCAACGAGCTCAGTCTGGACGTCTCCATCTGGGACGTCAGCCGCGACAACGTCGACGGCATCCGCCAACGGATCGACCAAGGAAAATTCACCGGGAAAGGCAAGATCCAAGCTTTTGACGAGGTCGATCAATTCACCCAAAGTCTTGGCCAAGACCAAAAGCTTTTCATCTTTTCCATCACCCACGGCGACCCGGCCGACTCCGTCCTCGACAAGATCCAGAACAGCTTGCAGAAGGGCGACATCATCCTCGACGGCGGCAACGAGCACTATCGCCGTACCGAGCAGCGTCAGAAGCGTTGCGCTGAGCGCGGAATCCACTGGATCGGCATGGGCGTCTCCGGGGGGTACCAGTCTGCCCGCCATGGCCCGAGTTTATCCCCCGGCGGCGACCCGGACGCCATCAACCTCGTGCTCCCGCTTCTTGAGAAATACGCCGCCAAAGACCCCAAGACCAAGAAGCCCTGTGTCACCAACGTGGGACCAGCCGGGTCGGGTCATTTCGTCAAGATGGTCCACAACGGGATCGAAGGCGGCATGCTGTCCACCGTTGCCGAGGCCTGGTCGCTGCTGCACTACGGACTCGGCCTCCAGTACGAGGAGATTGCGGACATCTTCGAGCAGTGGAATTCCGAAGGGGAGCTACGAAATAACTTCCTGCTAGACATTGGGGTCCAGATTCTCCGCACGAAGAAGACTCCTCAGGGGGACAAGCAAGGTGAAGGCGCCAGCAAAGACGGCGGATTCGTCCTCGATGATGTCCTTGACAAGGTGGTCCAGGATGACGATGACACTGAAGGCACCCCCTACTGGTCGGTCATGGAGTCGGCCGCTCGCCACGTTTCGGCCCCAACGCTGGCTACGGCGCATTTCCTACGGATTGCCAGTGGAAACCGCGCAGAGCGCTTGGAGGTCGCCAAGAAGCTGGACCTTCCCCAGCCCAAACCCCTCGAGGGCATCAAAGACAAGAAGGCGTGCATTGAGAAGATCCGCAGAGCGGTTTACAGCGCCTTCCTGGCCTCGTTCTGTCAGGGTCTGGAGCTGATCGCTCGTGCCTCCAAGGACGAGGGCTGGAACGTGGATCTGAGCAAGTGTCTCCAGATCTGGCGCAACGGCTGTATCATCCAGTCTGAAGCGATTGCCGACCTGCTGCAGCCAGCCATGACCGAGTCTCTCACTAATGTCAAATGCGTGGACGCAGTGGCGCGAGAGTTGCACAAGCATTTCGACGCCTTGAAGGACACGGTGCTCGCGGCCACAGTAGCCGACCACTATACGCCGGCTCTCTCTGCGACGTTGGAATACCTCAAGTATGAGGCAGGAACCATGCTCCCGACGAAGTTCATGGAGGCCCAGATGGACCTCTTTGGTGCGCATGGATACAACAAGCCGGGAGTCAAGGGCGAGGATCCAGGCCCAGTTTCCAAGGGAGCCCATCACTATGAGTGGCGTCCTGCTTGAGTGATGAGCATTTTAATGATCTGGATGATAACGATAGCGTGTAATGCATGTACTGAGCACAACTGATAATGTACCATGTCACCGTCCACCTCTCCCCAGTAAGCTACGTAAAGTCCAACTACCGTACAATGACGTGATAGTCCATCGGTTTCTGCCCCAGGCACCACTCAGGTACTCTCAGGCTCCGGGACAGGTTCAGGCACTCAGGCACCGACCGATAAGATCGCGGTTTCCCGATTGGGAGTAATACCCCGCCGAGAATTTCAGGCCTCTCAGTCCCTCTGCCCTCTTCCTCTCCTCCTCCTCCTCCTCCTCCTCTTTCTCCTATACAACCACTCTCTTCCTTGTATGCTGTCTACTTTCTGGCGCCATTTCTTCTCCATCTCCAAACCTCGCATTCGCATCGAATCCCCAAAACAACTAGCCCGCAGAATGGCCGCCCTCCCCACCACCTACGACGGTAATTCCCCTCCTCTGCCCATCTCACCTGCATGCAAGCAACCATTGACAACCTCTAGAGCCCGTCCGCATTGCCGTCATCGGCGGTACCGGCTTGCGCGAACTTCCTGGCTTCACCCAAGTCGCCTCCCTCAACGTCAGCACTCCCTGGGGCAACCCCTCCTCGCCCATCACCATTCTGCACCACAAGTGCTCTCACAACAACAAGACCGTTGCCATTGCCTTCCTCAGCCGCCACGGTGCCCACCACCAGATCGCTCCCCATGAGGTGCCCGCTCGCGCCAACATCGCTGCTTTGCGCTCCATCGGTGTCCGCACCATCATCGCCTTCTCCGCCGTCGGCAGCTTGCAAGAGGCCATCAAGCCCCGCGATTTCGTCATTCCCGACCAGGTCATTGACCGCACCAAGGGCATTCGTCCCTTCACTTTCTTCGAGGGCGGCGTCGTCGCCCACGTGCCTTTCGGCGACCCCTTCGACGAGGGTGTCGCCAAGGTTGTGAGAGCCTGCGGACACAGCTTGGAGGGTGATGGAGTCGTTCTTCACGACCGTGGTACCCTGATCTGCATGGGTATGTATTCATCCCCGAAAGTTCAATTGCAGAAGCTAATCGTCTGCAGAGGGTCCTCAATTCTCGACCCGCGCCGAGAGCAACATGTACCGCTCCTTCGGTGGCAGCGTCATCAACATGTCCGCCCTGCCTGAGGCCAAGCTGGCCCGTGAGGCCGAGATCGCCTACCAGATGATCTGCATGTCCACCGACTATGACTGCTGGCATGAGTCGACCGCGGACGTGACCGTGGAGATGGTCATGGGCCACATGAAGGCCAACGCTGAGAACGCCAAGCGCTTTGTCACAGCTGTGCTGGACGCCTTGGCTTCCGACGAGCACGCCGAGCTGGTGCAGGCCAAGCACGTTGAGGGCTCCATCAAGTTCGGGCTCAGCACTGCTCAGCCCAACTGGAGCTCGGAGGCTCGTGAGCGCATGAACTGGCTCTTCCCCGGTTATTTCAACTAGATCTTGATGAGTGATAGATAGATATTTATAGGAATGAATTTATGATGATAGACCTCAAGATGCTTTCATTATCAGACGTTTCTTGGCTATTGACAAAGGTGACATGCTAACAGGTTAGATGTATGCTCGTGGTGAGGGACCCATTCACTGTGAACAGTGAGGGGGGGGCGGGAGGTTGCTAAGGAATCACGCACCACAAACAGCAGTTTGCTTACTATAAGTTTGAATCATCTCCTATCTACTTTTCATCCCTTGCTTTCAATCATGTCAAAATACTTTGCCAGTATGAGCAACACTATACAGATCCCAATGGAGTTCCCTTACAAAGTCATCGATCCTAATGGGGATGTACTGCTTGTGCTGCGGCAACAGGCAGGCCGGATATATGCAACCCTAGTCAGAAATGGTGGAAACTTCCTCTTCCTTCTGCCTCTCACAACTAACATATCTTTCATTCTAGACGGACTGCCCCTAGATCATTCGATTGCAACATCCGATCTTACCCCCGAGCCTCAGCGAACTGTCGCCTCTCAATTCGGTTTCTCGACATCAACACTTGTCAACGAATCCATTCACACAGTCTCGAGTGAAGATCTTCCAACACTCAATAATGACGGGCCCACAGACCAGATCCACCACTGCATTCAAATCCTTGTCTCGTCAAAACACCTTTGCTTCGCCTCGCGTCGCTTTCAGGAAGAGCTCTCACGGCTAGACACCAGAGCAGAACCGGCCGGCCTGCTGCCTTACAACCTTACAAACCTAGACGCCCTTTACATCCTCCTCAACATCTTGCATTGCCGCAGTCGTCAAGTGCCCCGCCAAATCAACCTCAACCTCCTTTGCATGGTAGCAGAGTTGACCCAGCACTACGATTGCCTCGAAGCCGTGGAGGCCTTTGCCAGGACTTGGCTTGAGAATCTCCACGACTGCTTTCCAACGTCTTGCTCGCATGATCTATCCCAGTGGGTGTTCATTGCATGGGCCTTTCGCCATCATGGCTTATTTCGCCTAGTTACGGAAATTGCACTGAGGGAGTCTACGGAGTCGATAAGGACGAAAGGTCTAAGAATCCCGGCGGGCCTGATAAGTTTGGAATGATCCATTGCCCTTCATGCAGCGACGAACAGGCTGGCTAACCTATGCAATCCATCAGACCTCATCAACAAAACCCGTCAATATCGCATCGAAGAGATTGTCTTCTCTTTGTACGAGCGCATGGAATACCTTCTCGATCATGAGTCGTGTTGTTCCGACTGCGATCAGCTGATGGTCGGGACACTCATCCACCAGTTGAAGCCGCGCAACTTGTTCCCTCCACCTCAGGCTCCATACAAGGGACTTAGTCTGAATGCGGTGCTCAAGATAGTCAATGAGCTGAGAGAGTCCCGGTGCAAGGAATTGATCCACGACAAGATCGGATGCTCAGGGGCAAAGTGTTGGCTAATTCCGGAGACGCGGACCTTGCTAAAAAGGATCGATGCAGAGATCGTGGGCTTGCGATTGGGAGACTACTTGGTTGACTGACTGGCAGCTACTGGCTTAGTGGTGGTGAAGGCCACTGATAAGCGTTGGATGGAGTAAGAATAGCCGGCCGGGCTCGCTGATTGATCCAGGCACGCTGCCTGCTGTTCGTTCCCCTGTCGATCCTCCGCTTTCCCAACCCTCGCCTGCCTTCCTCTGTCGGCTATCCGAGATAAGGATCATCATCAAGCGTTGGACTACCTTGGTCACTCTGCAGGTTCGTTGGATCATAATTCGCTTGTGTCTTTGACAAAGGCTGCGTTGTCTCTACCGGTAACTACACTTTCTGCACACTTTGTCGACAATACATTCTTCAGCCGTAATCCAATGTATTTCTAGATCACAAGCAGTGCAACCTCATATATTTCCGGGCTGTCATGCATGCGCAGGTTTCATCAGTTTGATTGTCAATTCATCTATTCCTCTCTTGATGAAGGTACATCAGCTGAACGCCCCCGCATTCTGGCCACCACAAAAAAAGCCCGTTGATTAGCCACCGGACCTCATCCCTTGTCTGGCGCGGACTGGCGCTATTTTCAGCAACGAACCCTCATTGCCTCGGTCGACTCACGCCGTTCCCTAGTGATATGCGTGCAGGTCCCTGTTCGGTGGCCTCGAACCATTTATTTATCCAGCAATGATCAGCTAGGCCGCGAGCCAACGACAGCGATGCTCTAGATCTGATTGGTGTGGGCTGTTGTCTGTCATATGTCATAATGTGTAGAGGCTGCATATGTCCTTCATGGCCATGTCCTTGTGATCGAGGGCCCCCTGACTAGACTTGGGTCTAGAAAGGACAGGGAGCTATATCTTTAACAGACTGCATGGCTCGTCAACGCATGTAGTAAGGTTTTCCTGATTCTGTCCCTGTCTCTCTCGTTCGAAGACACCGACAATGACCCCCATCTGGCATTACCTCGCTGTTCTAACCCTTCTCCTTCCAGGATACCTTGCGGCCGAGCATTACCGCCGCGATGATGACGCCGATGCCTACTCACCTCCCTATTACCCAGCCCCTCCTGGAGGCTGGATCTCGGAGTGGAGCGCGGCATACGCAAAGGCTCAAGCCGTGGTGAGCAACATGACTCTTGCTGAGAAAGTCAACCTCACTACCGGCACGGGAATGTACATGGGCCCTTGTGTCGGCCAAACAGGAAGCGCACTGCGTTTTGGCATTCCAAACCTCTGTCTTCAGGACTCGCCTCTCGGCATTCGAAACTCGGATCACAATACCGCCTTCCCTCCTGGAGTGACTGTCGGGGCCACCTGGGATAAGGACCTGATGTACCAGCGTGGTGTGGAGCTGGGACAGGAAGCTCGTGGAAAGGGTGTGAATGTTCTCCTAGGTCCGGTGGTTGGGCCCATGTTCAGGAAACCGCTTGGTGGGCGCGGGTGGGAGGGCTTCGGAGCGGACCCCACGCTGCAGGCGGTTGGAGGCGCGTTGACGATCCAGGGCATGCAAAGCACTGGGGCCATTGCTTGCTTGAAGCATTACATCGGAAATGAGCAGGAGATGTATCGCGAGACCTCGGTGCTGACCACGGGTTACTCGTCGAACATTGATGATCGTACTTTGCATGAGCTGTATCTCTGGCCCTTTGCTGAGGGTGTTAGAGCAGGAGTTGGGTCGGTGATGACTGCATACAACAATGTGAGTTTTGTATGAAGGTGGTTTGGGCCTTCTGGGCTGACAAGCGCAGGTGAATCGTTCGGCGTGCAGCCAGAACAGCATGCTCATCAATGGCATCCTCAAGGATGAGCTGGGCTTTCAAGGTTTTGTCATGACCGACTGGCTGGCTCAGCAGGGGGGTGTCTCATCGGCCTTAGCTGGACTTGACATGGCTATGCCTGGCGACGGCGCGATTCCTTTGCTAGGGACTGCCTTCTGGGGATCGGAGCTGTCAACCGCAATTCTCAACGGAACAGTACCGCTGGACCGACTCAATGATATGGTGGGGTATCTTCCATCCTGCTGCTGGAATCATGCTAAGCCCTCTCAAGGTCACTCGGATCGTAGCAACCTGGTATCAAATGGGTCAAGATAAGGATTACCCTCTACCCAACTTTTCGAGCAACACCCTCGACAAAACGGGTCCTCTCTACCCCGGTGCCTTATTCTCCCCAACAGGAGTTGTCAATCAGTTTGTCGACGTGCAAGGCAACCATAATGTCACGGCCCACGCGATTGCTCGGGACGCGATCACCCTCCTCAAAAATGACAACGGTACCTTGCCCCTCAAACGTAATGCTTCTCTCAAGGTGTTTGGTACCGATGCTGGGCCGAACAAATCAGGTCTCAACTCCTGCAGTGACATGGGCTGCGACCAGGGCGTTCTGACCATGGGCTGGGGAAGTGGCACCTCACGCCTGCCCTCTCTCGTGACGCCGCAAGAAGCAATCGCCAACGTTTCCACATCCAACACAACCACCTTCTACATCACAGACACCTTCCCTTCCAACCTCCCCACGCCATCGTCATCCGACATCGCTGTCGTCTTCATCAACGCCGACTCGGGAGAGAACTACATCACCGTTGAGTCCAACCCGGGAGACCGCACCAACGCCGGCCTCTACGCATGGCACAACGGCGACGCGCTCGTCCAAGCCGCAGCATCCAAGTTCACCACAGTGGTTGTGGTCATCCATACCGTCGGCCCGATCCTCCTCGAGTCATTCATCGACCTCCCCAGCGTGAAAGCCGTGCTTGTTGCGCACCTCCCCGGCCAAGCCGCCGGCTATTCGCTCACCGACGTTCTCTACGGCGATACCAGCCCCAGCGGCCACCTGCCCTACACCATTCCCGCCTCTGCGTCCGACTACCCATCCTCCACGGACATCATCACCTCGCAACCTCTGTTCTCCCAGATCCAGGACTGGTTTGACGAGGGGCTCTACATCGACTACCGCTACTTCCTGAAAGCAAACATCACCCCCCGCTATCCCTTCGGCCACGGCCTGTCGTACACAACCTTCCAGTACTCCGCCCCCGCACTGACGACCGTGACCGCCCTGAGCAGCGAATATCCGGCCGCACGCGCCAGCAAGGCCTCCGTCCCCACCTACCCCACAAACATCCCCGATCCATCCGAGGTCGCATGGCCCAGCACGCTGGACCGGATCTGGCGTTACCTATACCCGTACCTTGATGACCCCGAGAGCGTTACTAACTCCACGAGTACCTACGCGTACCCGTCTGGCTACTCCACGGCAGCGCACCCTGCCCCGCGCGCCGGGGGCGGGCAGGGCGGAAACCCGGCGCTGTTTGAGACGGCCTTCGAGATCGACGTGACGGTCACGAACACGGGCAAACGGAATGGGAGGGCGGTGGCGCAGCTGTATGTACAGTTACCGGGGCAGGCGGTCTTGGGCGTCGATACGCCGCAGAGACAGCTCCGGGCGTTTGCGAAGACCGCGACCCTGGCCCCCGGGGCGAGTGAGGTGGTCAAGTTGACTGTGACGAGGAAGGACCTGAGTGTCTGGGATGTCACGGTGCAGGACTGGAGGGTGCCTGTTGCTGGGGACGGGGTGGTTTTTTGGGTAGGGGAGAGTGTCGCGGAGGAGGATTTGAGGGTTAGGTGTGCGGTTGGGGGTGCTTGTGAGGTTCTTTAGGGGGTAGGTAGAGTGTTGTGGATTTTCATGTGAACTGGGTCCATTGTTTCTGGGCTGGGAGATAGGATATATGCTTAGCTATATAGTGCGAGTAATGGCTTGGGAGGGTTGCAGTGAAACGAGCTATCTCAAGGAATCGGAGAAGTCTATGTTAGTAAGAGATGCAATGTCTGTGAATGTGTCTGTAGATAATTGTCAGCTTCAGCAACGTTGCTATTCATTCGGGCGTCGATCTACTGTAGAAGTTGTGGTGATTGCTGATAAGAAACGGAAGGAGGCAGCATGACAGCCCCTGCCTGAGGCATCAGGTTATCGTAGAATTCCGCCCCCGGAAGGCGGATCTCTCGATCTTCTTCCCTTTACTCCAGCCCGGCTCATAATTACACCCCATTAACCACCATCATGTCGTCCCGATCTCTTTGGAGGAGTTTACAGGCTCAGACAAGACGGCGATTGGCCGTGCCCGAGACTCCCTACCGGTGTTTCTCCTGCACGCGACAAGCCCAGGCCCAACCGCCCAAGCCGACCGCCGACGAGGAGCGATTCACGCATTTCGGCTTCCAAAATGTCCCCGAATCGCAGAAGGAATCCATGGGTAAGATTTTCCATATCAGATCCATGGGTCTATTCCTCAAGGCCTCGCCATACTAACTATCCCGGGTACACTAGTGAAAACCGTGTTCAGCTCGGTGGCCTCGTCCTACGATGTGATGAACGACATGATGTCGCTGGGCATCCACCGGCTGTGGAAGGACCACTTCGTGCGATCGCTGAACCCGGGGTCGGCGCTGCCGTCGCGCGACCACGACACGGCCGGCCGCGGCTGGAACATCCTGGACATCGCGGGCGGCACGGGAGACATCGCGTTCCGGATGCTGGACCACGCGACCAACATCAACCACGACGCGGCGACGCGGGTGACGATCGCCGACATCAACCCGGACATGCTGGCGGAGGGCAAGAAGCGCAGCATCCAGACCCCCTACTACAATACGAACCGGCTGGCCTTCCTGGAGGGCAACGCACAGAGCATGCCCTCAATCCCCAGCAACTCGGTCGACCTGTACACGGTGGTGTTCGGCATTCGCAACTTCACGGATAAGCAGGCGGCGCTCAACGAGGCCTTCCGCGTGCTCAAGCCCGGCGGCGTCTTCGCGTGCATGGAGTTCAGCAAGGTCGACAACGCCCTGTTCAATGCCGTCTACAAGCAGTGGAGCTTCAGTGCCATCCCCCTGATCGGCCAGCTGGTCGCGGGCGACCGCGAGAGTTATCAGTACCTCGTCGAGAGTATTGAGCAGTTCCCGAGCCAGGAGGAGTTCCGGGGCATGATCCAGAAGGCTGGGTTCTTGATTCCGGGACGCGGGTTCGAGAATCTTACGGGGGGCATTGCGGCGATTCACAAGGGGATTAAGCCTTTGAATTAGGATTAGGAGTTGTGGTGGTGGTGGTGGTAGGGAGAGGGGGGGGGGGAAGTGGGAAAAATGTAACTGTAACTGTAACTAAATTAAGTCAGTAAGACTAACTGCTCCTCAAAACCGAGTGTCGCCAAGTGTATCATTATTAACATTATTAATAATGTTGATGGAGATGGAGGGTGGGATCGGATCCGTGCACAACAACGACGAGAAGAAGAAGAAGAAGACATCAACTTCCGCGGCAATGGTGTGATAGCGGATGAATCGGGGCGCCAGCCGATGAGGAAATGCCCTCATCGGAGCCATTGACTGGTTGATCGAGGCGGGGGGTAAGAAAGAGATTATCGTCGAGAAAATCTAAAGTTAGTTAGCAGGCAGTAGGTAATCTCCGACTCTCCGAAAGATCCTGGCAAAAGTGAGAAAGTAGTAATAAGCAGTATCTCTTCCGGGCCGGGTTGTTATCTACAAATGCACTGTATTTATTTCCTTAGTAGATCCATAATCCACAATCCATAAAGACAAAGTACAGTACGGAGTAGGCATTCCAGACTCTAGGCTTCTTTCTTCCTTCTTCCCGTTCCGTTCCTCTTTCGCCCCTCCGCATTTTTCTCTCCCTCTCCCTTGTCTTCTTCCTTTCCTCCCCTCTCTTTGCGCGGACTCTTTCTCTTTCCCCCCCCACCTTCGATTCCGAATTCCCCTCTTTTCTTCTTTCCTGGATTTTGTCCGGGTTCTCTTTTCCCAGGCTTCTTCCTGGGAGAGGACACGGTCTTCCTTCACTCTTAAACCTGGACTTTCCTACCTACTTAGTATCTTTGAGAAAGAAATGGTAGCGCAATGATGGGGCATCTCATCAAGCAGCAGTTCCCCCCCATCCCGCTCTCTCCCGCCGCCGCCGCCGCCATCATGCCCCTCTCCCACTCAATGCCTTCCGCCACAAACGATGATTTCTTGTCCATGACCCCTCCGGACACCTCGGATATTGCTCTTGCTGCCTCTAAGGTCTCCTCCGGTGCTGTATCCGATGCCATTCAGGTTATCTCCACCGAGCGGGCAGCCTTGGCGCACTTGGAGCACACTTATCAGACCGATGCTCTGGCCCAGGAACACCTTGCGCGCGCAGTGACTCGGATCGCGCGCACCATCAAACATGGCGGAAAGCTGGTCTGCTGCGGGGTGGGCAAGAGCGGGAAAATCGCCCAGAAGCTGGAGGCCACGATGAACAGTCTCGGAATCTACAGTGCTTTTTTGCATCCGACGGAAGCCTTACACGGCGACCTTGGCATGATTCGACCGGTAAGACATGGCGAAAACCTCTCTCCACACAGAAGCTGGTACGATGATGGCTAACTTCGAGTCGGGATCCAGCATGATACCCTTTTATTGATTTCCTTTTCCGGGCGTACACCCGAACTTCTACTTCTGCTGCCTCATATTCCGTCAACCGTTCCAGTGATTGCCATCACTTCGCACATGCACCCTTCGACCTGCCCTCTCTTGTCCTTCCAACCCTCGGACATGGGGATCCTCCTACCCGCCCCGATTCACGAGGATGAGGAGTCTTCCATTGGTGTGAGTGCCCCGACATCGTCCACCACGGTGGCCTTGTCGCTGGGAGATGCGCTGGCTATCGCCACGGCTCGACGATTGCATACCGCTCCGGGGCGGGGTCCGGCCGAGGTGTTCAAGGGCTACCACCCAGGCGGTGCAATTGGGGCTGCCTCGATGGCGTTGACCCCGATGAGCATGTCCTCCGCCTCCAGCACCTCTACTCCGTCCGACTACATCCCAACGCAGGACTCTATCGTCTCGTTCCCCCCAGCGGACCGCAAAGGAAGCCAACAACCACGCGTCGCGGATGTGTCAACCGCCCTCGACCAGATCCCTAAGGTCTCTGCATCAGGCAAGATCCGTTTCTTAGATATCCTACTTACAGCTATCCAACATCCCCATGCGAAATCATGGGTCTTCTTGTCCTCGTCAGAGATCATTCCTCCGCGACACCTTCGTTTCCTTTCTCAGAGCAATTATGTGGATATGCATGTGTCCTCGTTCGTGGATCTGGGCCTTCCCTTTAGCGTGTCCCGCAAAGACTGGCTTCAGATTCCCAGCTCGAGCAGCATCGACGACGCCCGCCGGCTGGTGTCCGAGGCCAATGCCACCGCCAGTACGACGGTGGTTGTGCTCGCAGTCATGCACGACAACGAGTGCCTGGGCGTGATCGAGGCCGAGGATCTGTGGAATGATTGTGATGACTAGCTCTTCTTCCCCTTGCCTTTGGGCCCGCAACAGTCCTCATGCCAGGGCCAAAATATGGCGACGATGTATACGACTGACGTTTTTGAGCATTCGTGGATTTTATGTAATCTTGGATCTCGTTTTTCCCCCTTTGGCTTATCTTCTTCAACCTCTATATTTTCTTCGCTTCTCGCAAGTTGTTCTCTTTTCCCGTGGTTCTTACTGACCTCCATCCACTATCATTGGTCTTTTCTTCTGGGATTCAGCTTCTTGTCAATGTGTTTCTCATATGCAAACAAGACGTCTACAGGCACCTCGTTTTGCCCTCCGAGGGACAGGCGGGTTTGCATCTTTCCACATAAAGGAAGCTTGGTTCAGTCGGGACCGTTTTTGGTGATATAACATACTTGACCCAGTCTTTAGCGTGGCTTCTTCTTATCTCCTTATCTCACATCATCATCATCATCATTATTATACCCAAGGGGTGGGGGTTTTGGATATCCTAAATCTCTCGCCGATAATTTTTTTCATGATTCGAGAATCTCCTTGCATATATTTCCATATAACCTTCTGTTACCTATAATGCATAACCCACTTCCCAGGCTTGCCAAGAATCACATAACTAGTCTTGATACCTTTTTTTTTTGCTCAGCATCTTAACACAGAGGAAATGGTACAAGACTGTGGGAGGCGTAGACTACAGCATGGTGAAGAATACCAAGAAGAGAAAGGGCGGGATTGAAGATATTAAGTGGTCATCTATGATATGTATGGTATCTTTGGAAAACAGACAAAAGGGGGGCAGGAAACACAACGCATTAATCGTAACAGTGCATCAGACGCCTTTGTAAAAGAAGTAAAAATCGACCCATTCCGAAACGTGTCATGAGAGAATCAACAAGCGAGAGGGAGGGACAGTTGACTTGGGGGGATTTCTTGGCGACCAGGTGAGGATCTCATTCCCAGCGGGGGAGGGGAGGAGTAGATGAATGGATGCTATACATGCGGAGCACTGACCCGGAGGACTGTACAGTGGGTGGTCATGGCGTCTCCCTTCCCTCTTTGTCGGGGTGAGCGGTAGAACGCGTGGCCGAATTCTTGAAGGTTGGATCCAGAAGAAGTCAAGGGAAACATGCGAGGAATATAACAGGTGACAGTATGAGCGGGAGCAATGAGTGACACCACCGAAGGATCCTGGATCGTGTTGCGAGAATGGTGAGAGGATTGAGGTGCGAGGAGAGAACCCGGTCTGCTGGAAAAGAAAACCCCCTTGTCTGAGGTCCCATTGTAGCGCTCTCCGACTTCTCTTTCAGTGTTCTTGTTTACCCCTTGGGTGGATGATAGGATGGGGCGTCGGGGAAGGCGTAAGAACACTAAAGTTAACTGAATCCCTCTCGGGGAGGAGGGGGGGGGCAGGGCGCGCGGGGAGGGAAGAACAAGGTTTCTATCAACCCGACGAACCCGGCTCCTGCCGGCCCTTGCCCTTGTCGGCAGTTCCATCATCCTTGTAGAGATTGTGTTGTTCGATATAATGGATGACGGGGACGGGGATCAGGTAGCGGACGCTCATGTCACGGCGTAGGAAGAGGCGTATCTTGGTGCTGCTGACGTCATTTTGGATGAGTTGCTGGATGACATGGATGTTCTTCTTCCAGGTCTGGAGGGCGGCGAGCGCTTCATCGATATCGGTTCCGCTGCGTTCGACGATGAAGGTCTGTTTTGCTGTATGTTAGTTCTGGGAATCCTTCTTCTTGGGGATTTGGTTTCCAAGACGTACGCCGTATTTGCCAAGGATGTGATCAAGATCCTTCTCGCTCCAAACCCCCGGGGTGGACATGGTGTGCACCAGATCTGCGCCGGCCAGCAGAGCGATCTGGATGGGCTTGCGCGTGCCATCTCCGGCCTCGATTCCGTGGCGGATGGTGTTGATCTCGTGGTCGAAGTGGTCCAGGACCACGGCGGTGGGTTGGTATTCCTTCTGCATGGGTTCCCAGGTGTCGACCATCAGCCAGTCGGAGGTCTGGTCGACGGCGAGTTGGCACATAGCCACACTTTTTTTGTGGTGCTGTTAGTGTTTATTACGTTTCGATAGGAAGAGAGTCTGAGTAGAGACGCCGGGGATGGGACATACCGATGCTCAGCGTTCGCCAATCCGGCCTTGCGATAGGCGTCCGACACGGGCGACAGATACCCGCCCACAATCTCGAATTCGGTGCTGAATTTGACGTAGTCGGCCGCCATCTCGAACATGCGCAGGTGCAGGTAGGTGATCGGGGAGAAGGAGCCACAGGCGACCAGCAGTAATGGGGTCTTCTCCGGGTCGTCCATTCGGCGCTTCAAGCGGTGTTCGGGGAACGTGTAGTCTTGCATTGGAGCCGGGGGCAGCGGGGAGGGGGTGCGCAGGACATCATCCCCTACTCCGGGCGTGTTGTTGTTGTTGATAGAATCGGTCATTGTGGTTTCGGTGGTTTCGGGGGGAATCTGGTAGGGCTAGCTGCTTGGCTGGCTGGCTGGGCTCTCCGGATGAGAGCGGGTTGATGGTGGGGGTGTGGTCGAATAGTGAGTGATATGAGTGTTCTGGAATGGAATTTATCGTAGGAAATTTACGTTGGATGGGAGAGTGGGTTAGTAAGTGAGTAAGTGAGTGAGTCAGGTAGTGAGTAGAGAGAGAGAGAGTAAGATGGAGAGAGAAAGAGAAAGATGGCCGGTGAAGTGAAGAGGATTGGAATGGATGGAGGATGAATGCGGGCGGCGCAATGAAGGGCGGTTTAGTCAGCGTGGGGAGGGGGGGGGGGGGGATTTTGGGAAAAACGGCGGCGGTGGGCGGGGAAAAAGAAACCAAAGCAACGCGGGAAGAGAAAAAAAAAACGACCAAGATGGACGCTCGGTGTGTCTAAAACTACTCCAACCTAGTGGTGATGATGTGATTCTCTCTCCTAATCGGGGAGATTTCGCCGTCTACTAGGTACAGCTGGCTCGGTTGATAAGAATAATACATTATTTCCAGTATACTCTGGTGCTTGCTCTCACATCCCATTGAGGCTCTTTTATACTTGATCTCCTTATTATTATACCAGGTACTCCGTACGGGGTACGTAGTTATTGTAGGCTACTCTTTGTTGCCTGCCCCCAAGCTGGTCGCATGGGCTCGGCTGCCTTCAAATCTCCGCCCGTGCCTCGGACTTTAGGCTTAATTTCTAGGCACCGACTCAGGAAGCGAGCGACTCCTTCCTCCGAATGAGGACATTCTTTCCCCGACTGGACTAGATCTTCTTAGTCTTATGGAGAATGAAGTGAACTGCTGAGGGGAAATCCATCCCCACTCTGTTTCTCCAGCAGGGACACTAGACTACTGTATGTCAACAAAACCACCACAAAACTACCATCGCCTGCATCGATTTGCAGCCGCTATACATACATCTTCATAGTTCAGTCATGCTTGAATGCCAACCTCATCTCCTCTAGATTCAACTCAATTCCACTGCCTGCATTGCGTTGGCCATGACTATGTCTCGCCCTTTGGTCTCGACGCTCAAACAGAGCAAGCAAGGCCTTGCTGCCCCAACATCCCCGCTCGGCCAGTCTGTAAGGGATATCAGCAACAAGCCACATTAAGAACTGTGGCGGTTGCCGCCATTCCCTTCTACGCAAGACTGAGTTTCGGTCGAGAGAAGAAGAATGAATTTTACATACATCCTGGGCCAATGCGAGTGATAAGGACCCCGCGCGTTGATGCAGTCATCCGCATGGCCCTCGCCCCTTGCGCTCTTCTGCACTTCTGCATCTCGATGAGAATTGCCGATGCCACCATTGCGTGCTGGGACTACGTGATTCTACTTGAGACTGTTGTGAAGGGAAGTGGTGAGTACCCGGTTGTCCTTCCATGTTCTGAAACAGCCCTTCAATTATGTCAGGCACAGACCCGAGTGCTCCCATACCTCGGTCCGTAGTATCTACGTACAAGCTCCATATTAATTCAGTAAAGCACGGAAGAACTGCACAGGTCTCCTGCAAATAAGCAAGGCCCCGGTGCATTCTTAATGACGTTACTTTTTGCAGTAGCTCCGTACTTCCGGTGGAAACCCACGATCAGATCCACGATCACTCTCGTGAGAATTGGCCTTGTTAGTAAGCAGACTCGGCTGGAGCTTCAGGTGGATATACATATATGAATAATGGATATGTAAGGAAAAGAGCCGGCAACAAAGCTCATTCATCATGCAGAGTACCTAAGACATGTGAGCGATAGAATCAACCCGTGGGCTCTCCATTGTAAACAGGGCAGGGAGCAGTGTAGATGCTTCGGAGGAAATCAAGCTATAGTTTAATTGATGTTGGTAGTTAGTTGCACTTGGGTAGTCTGTCGCTCTCCGAACTGACTGCCATCACCGCCCGGCACCCACCACGTCAATCAGTCAATCTTCCCCCCCCCCCTCATCTCCCCCAAACTTCATCCATCAACTTGCTCTCTTGTTCTCCTTAACACTTTCTGCCTTGGTGTAAATCACATCCACTTTCTAATCTCTATAGTTGTTCGTTCTTGTTCTTCGACCCAGAACTTAACATTAAGTTACATTGTACTTTGGCCTCCGGCTCCTCATCCGCCCGCCTGATCGGCTTTCACCGAAACTCACCCCGGATCGTCGACGGAAGCCCAGTCTATTCACCCAAACCCAACCCTCCCCCCTAAACTCACTCACGGTCAACAGTTCCGACAGTGAACGAATGGCGGGTTGAACGGCATCGACTGACGAGCGAGCCCTCCTTAACTAGCTCTGGTTAGCAATCGACATATGGCCAAACAAAGGCCCAATTCTCACCGCCAGGACCCTTTAGAGGACGCTTCCGCTCTTCCATCCGCTGAACTCTCCACCTCTGCCGCCAGGTACATATCACTTCTATCTCCCTTGAACCTTCCCCACTATCAGTTCCCTTCTGTCGTGTCTGGCGTCTGGATCCCTGCTCTGGCTTCATTTCTGATTCCTCGCGACTTGGTCAACCCTCCCCCAACAAGCTTCAACACCCCGGTCTGTCCGAGTATAGCGGTATCCGCGGAGGCGTGTCCGACGGGCTGTGCATGCGGCCGAGTCTTTTGACTGCGTGTCGGTGTCCTTGGACCCAACATCGATTTAACCCTTAAACATTTCTCTTACACCATCGCACCGATTCCACTCTTCTTTCTACTCTTCAACTCGCGTCACCTTTTCATCATTTGCTGGAAGTGAACACCTTCTCATGTCCTCCAGGGTTACTCGTTCTGCTGCGAGATCAGCTGCAGAACCTCAGCCGTCTACCAGCGCCGGCTCTTCTCCTACGAATCCCGCCGCTGGTTCGGCGTCGACTCGGAAGCGCAAGGCCCCTCGTCCTGACCAGCCCGTGGAAGCCTCCGACATAACAAACCCCTCATCTACTCCACGGAAGAGCAAACGACAGCGCCGTGCAGCGTCCCCTCCTACCCCGGCAGCACCCCCGGCGGCTTCTACTGCTGCTACCCGTCGCGGCACTCGCAACCGTCCAGCTACTATGTCCCAATCCGGGTGAGTCGCACCTAGGACTCTTTCTCATCACAGTGAATGTACTGACTGCGAACTCGGTAGTTCATCCTCGCGGCCCACGGAGGATTCAACCAAGACTCAAGTCTCGCCTCCGACATCTCGGCGGAAGTCTAATAAGAGTGGAAGGTCGGAAGGTAAGAGCAGAACCTCCAGCTAAGGAAGAGTGGTGGATGAGAACTGACCCTTTGCTACAGATCGTACCTCGACCACCCAGTCTCCGGCGCGCCGACAAAAGAAGCGTCCTTCCAAGATCGATCCCGATGTGCTTATGAGAGAGGCCGAAGACGAATTGGAGGAGCAGGACCACATTGAAGAGCACGAATCGTCGCCGCCAAGTGACAATCATGAAGGCACCATTCCGTCGACTTTGGCCGATGACGACGACGATGACGATGATGACGATGATGCGGACCTTTTCCACAACAGTTTGTTTGGGGCTCGAGGTCACCTAGGCCTTCAGAGTACCCTACGGGCTCTGAGCGGCATGATGTCAGGCATGTCCTCGCGTTTGCGCGATATCCTGAACAATTTGAGGATGAAAGATGACCCGTCCATTCAATTGATAGCTCTCCAAGAACTTTCGGAGCTCCTGCTAGTCTCCAACGAGGATAACCTTTCAGGCCAGTTCTCTCCGGACCCATATGTGAAGGAATTAGTGGCCCTGATGCAGCCAAACGACTTTGGCGAGGAGAACCCAGAGATCATGCTCCTCGCGTGTCGCTGCTTGGCCAATTTGATGGAAGCCCTTCGTGGCTCGGTGGCCAATGTTGTGTATGGCGGAGCTGTCCCAGTTTTGTGCCAGAAACTACTGGACATCCAGTTCATTGACCTGGCCGAGCAAGCTCTCAGCGTAAGTTATGCTCTGCACATTATTCACACATGCACGCTAACTCGCTATGCCGTAGACTCTAGCGAAGATTTCGGTCGACTTTCCTGCCTCGATCGTGCGGGAAGGTGGTTTGACAGCCTGTCTGACTTACCTCGATTTCTTTCCTACCAGCACGCAGCGCACGGCCGTGACAACTGCTGCCAACTGCTGCCGCAATCTACCTCACGACTCATTTCCAGTTGTTCGTGATGTGATGCCGACCCTGCTCAACGTGCTCTCCAGCAATGATCCCAAGGTGGTTGAACAGGCGTGCCTTTGCGTTTCGCGGATCGTTGAAAGCTATAAACACAAGCCGGAAAAGTTGGAGGAGCTGATTGAACCCGCCATGCTGAAAGCTGTGCTTCGATTGCTTTTGCCCGGAACCACCAACCTCATCGGGTCGCATATTCACACTCAATTCTTGCGTGTACTCGCGATTACCTCGAGAGCCAGCCCTAAATTGTCCGTGGAGCTGCTCAAAATGGACGTGGTCGACACTTTATACCAGATCCTGACGGGTGTGTCGCCTCCGGCCAACTTGGACGATACGGCTGTGAAGATGGACAGTGTATTGGTCATGCAAGCATTGATCCACCGTCCCAAGGAGCAGGTCTTTGAGACTCTTGATGTCATTTGTGAGCTATTGCCTAGCGTCCCGAGCCGGCATGTCCCACAACTCGAAGGTCTGATCGGGCCCAGTGGCATTTCCAAGCATCCCAAGGCGCAAGAGTCGGCCGAGAGACGGCGCGAATTGCTGCTGGAATGTAAAACGGAACTCAAGCGGTTTGCCATGATACTGTTGCCGACTCTTACCGATGCTTACTCCAGCACTGTCAATCTGGAAGTTCGCCAAAAGGTTCTCACCGCTCAACTCAAGATGCTTCACAATTTGGACGTCGGCTTGATTGAAGATGCTCTGAAATCGGTTCCTTACGCATCTTTCCTGGCAGCGATCCTGTCCCAGAACGATCACCCCACGCTGGTGTCTCACGCTATTCGTTGCGCAGAACTCCTGTTCTTGCGCCTGGAAC